ATTGGTTTGGAAATTGTTATTTATCTAAAAAAACGGTGAAATTGTACAAAATTTTAGGCGGCTTACAACTTGATCTCTCGTGGAATCACGAATTTGGTGTGCATCGGTGGAGATGGATCGTTGACTGGAGCGAACACTTTCAGAAAAGATTGGCCCGGACTGCTGGAAGAGTTGATCAAAGATGGAACTGTAAGAAAGATCGCCAACTTTTACCGAAAGCTTCTAGATTTCACAAGAGCTCGCCGATCAACACCCGAACATTCAAATTGTTGGATTGGTTGGGTCGATCGACAACGATTTTTGTGGTTGGTTTTGTATTTTATGATCAAAACCCATGGAATTCCGGAATACTCAAGAATGACAATTATTTCTTTTTCAATTTTAGGAACCGATATGACAATCGGAACGGACACAGCCTTGCAAAGGATCATTGAAGCGGTGGACGCTGTCGTCAGTACGGCTCAATCACATCAAAGAGCTTTCGTTGTTGAAGTGAGTAGCCATTACTATATTGACTCTGATAGAAACCGCCCTCCAATAGAAGCCAGGCAGTTCTGGAAATAGCCCAGCCCTGTCTTTCACTTCAACCCTAATCACGCCTGACAAATTGTACAGGGTGCGGCAGGATTATTGCAACCACCTCAGGGCAGCAATGTTAGTTCCAGCAACTTTTTAAAAGGAAGTAGTTTTCCCTGTTTAATATAACTTTAAAAATCAATTGTTAAAGTTTTTGAATTGATTTCTCTGTTATCGGTTTCTATCCGTAAAAAAATATTGGTTGCAATAATCCTGCCACACCCTTTAGACTCCAATTTACTGGCTGAGTCAAGGCTCCCAATCCCCTATCTCCCATCAGATTACCCAGCTCTAACTGCAGATGAAAGAGCACTCAGCTAACCCTAGATTCTGCCGATTGGAGTTGACCTGATTAGTGGGTGTTCTTGATGAAGAAGGGATCGAAAGTTGGCTTTTATCAGGTATGAAACAGTTGTAACAATTTCTGAAAAGTTGGAGTCCAGTTAGAGTAGAGCTATAGCTGACAAAAAGCCAACTTTCGACCATCAAGAACACTCACTAATCAGGTCCAACTTTAACTCGACCCGGCAGCCAGCTCCGCTCTAGTCCCTAGCCCCACTCGGGAGAACAACTCTGAATCCAACCTCTGGATTCGAGCCGAAAAAAATAGAAGTCACGGCTTCTATTAGAGACAGTACTGTACTTATCATCTATACCTAAATTAATGTCTTTATTGCACAAATTTCGATTTTTTAGGTGATGGGTCGTCATTGTGGTTACCTTGCACTTGTGGCTGCTTTGGCGTCAGAAGCCGATTTCTGTTTCATTCCTGAATGGCCACCACCATCCAACTGGAGAGATATCCTCTGCCAGAAACTCTCGGTGATGAGAGGTGAAGGACAACGGCTGAACATCATTATCGGTACGGTTTGACTCTAGTGAGTCCTGGGGAAGTCAGAAGTTACATGATATCTTTCAGTTGCGGAGGGTGCAATAGATCGAGACGGAACAGCAATCTCAGCCGACATGGTGAAAGACGTTGTGAGCAAGACGCTCAAGTACGACACCCGAGTCACCGTTTTGGGTCACGTGCAAAGAGGGAGGACATCCATCAGCTTTCGATCGGATTCTCGGATGTCGAATGGGAGCTGAGGTTGGGTTTAACAATTATAAACTATAAATTTCTCGTTTTGTAACTAAAACTCAAAAAAAGTAGCAGTTTGAATTGCTTAAATGTATGTTTTGCTCAATTTGTATCTAATTTTACTATGACTCAATCGCTAACTCTCAATTATAGGCCGTTCTTGCGCTGATGGAGATGACACCCGAATCCGAACCGTGTGTGATTTCAATTGATGGAAATTCAATGGTAAGAAGATTTTGAGTACTTGGGTCTTTTTCCCATTCAAAGAAATGCAAATTTGCATGGATAAGAGTTGCAGGAAATCAATCAAGTTCAGTCGTTCTTATCCACATCCCCACAAATTTCATTTGTAAATTGCTGAGGTGTATGTAAATTTGCGTCGCGAGAAGTACCGATTTTTGTTTATTTAAATTTCAACTTCAATTCAGGTACGCGTTCCTTTGATGCAATGTGTCGAGAGAACACAAGCTGTTCAAAAGGCGATGAATGAGAAGGATTGGGAAACTGCAGTTAGACTTCGCGGGAGATCTTTCCAAAGAAATCTTGACACGTATCGTCTTCTCACCAAGTTGCATCCAGAGAAGGACAACTTGAGTGGAGGTCATCATTTCAACGTGGCCGTCATGAATGTTGGAGCGCCAGCTGGAGGTGAAAACATCGATTTTTGCTTAAAACTGTGCTTAGAACTGATTGTCAATAAGTGTACAATGGAAAAACGCGATTTGATCACTTAAAAAGGCAACTTTTTCCGGGGTTTCTTGCCACAGCTTTTCAAGCCCTATCTTTGGTCTATAAAACTGAAAAAGTGCCGTTTGAAGTGGTCAAATCTCGTTTTTTCCGTTGGACACCTATTGAAAATCAGACGGACAAATGAACAGCTCTAACTGTGATTATCCAGGCATGAATGCGGCTGTTCGGTCTTTCACGCGTATCTCTCTTTACCATCGTTGCACCGTTTGGGGAATAAACGATTCGTTTGAAGGATTGATGAAAGGAAAGCTGACGGTAGCTTTTGAAAAGCCTTTAAATGGAAATTTTGATTCTTTCAGGAGTTGAAATGGAGCACGGTGACGAATTGGGTGATGCATGGAGGGTCCTTCCTTGGCACACAGAAGCAACTGCCCACCGCGGAGACGATACCGAAAATCGCGGAAACCCTGAAGAAGTTCAACATCCAAGCATTGCTACTCGTTGGAGGGTTTGAGGTTTGGAGGCCGAATAACAGTCTAGTGAAAATAGGAGTGCTTAGGGCGAAATTAGGGCAAAAATTCCAAGTTTCCAGGCCAACCCAAAAACTTTTACTCAATTGCCCCTAAATCCAGCTCAAGCCAAAGCTCAACCAAGGGAGGATTAGGCAAAATCCGAGATGGAAATTCCAAGCCAAGGCCAATTGAACGCCATTGATTTTGGCTTGGCTTGGCTTGGCTTTGGCTTGACTAGCCATTAGACTTGGGAATTTTCGATGTGAACGCCAATAGGCGTGCAACGGAAAAATGGCGCATCTCGGTACATCCAATTTCACTCTGATCTTTTTGATTTTGATATCAATTGACGCAGAATTTCATTTTCTATCGATTGGAATCAAAGACAGAAAGAGATCGAAAAATTGGCTAAATTATTGCATTTTTCGTCGGACACCTATTGACGTTTACACCAAAATTTCACAGGTCTACTAGCCATGGCTTTTGACTTCTTAGAACAGCCCTCTTGGGCAAGCCAAATATCAAAATTCGAGCCTTCCGATTGCAGCATCGATCTTTTAGGCATACCATTCTACTTTGATTCTCTCGCAACACAGGGATAAATTCCCGGAACTTCAAATCCCGATGTGTGTCATCCCATGCACAATCTCCAACAATGTGCCGGGTAACCGCTCTAGCATTTATCACGGATTAACGTCAAATTTAAGGAACTGTGCTATCTCTGGGCTCGGATACGGCTGTGAACGAAATTTGCTCACAAATCGACAAGATCAAACAATCAGCTACGGGAACGAAGCGTCGAGTTTTCATCATTGAGGTGAGGTTGGAAAGCAGCCAAGAATTTAGTTTTTTTGCTTTAGACAATGGGCGGCTATTGCGGCTATTTGGCGACCGTTTCGGCTATTGGATCGGGAGCGGACAATGCTTACATTTTTGAGGAGGACTTCACCGTTGAAGATATCATTGAGGATGTGCGGGTGGGTTTTTGGAAGTTTCTGGAATCGGTAATTTTAAAATGCAAAAATTGCAATATTCAGGTGATCACACAGAAGATGGAGAAAGGCGTTCAGCGGTACTTGATCGTGCGAAACGAGTGCGCCAACAAGAATTACACGACCGAATTCGTGCAGCAGCTTTTCGCCGAAGAAAGCCACGGAGAGGTGATTTGAAAGAAAAAGCTTTGCTATAAAATTTGCTTTTAGTTCTCAACTCGTATCAATGTTTTGGGACATGCACAGCAAGGTGGAAGTCCGACACCATTCGATAGAAATATGGGTCAGTTGATTTGATAAGATCTCTAACGATAAGTTTCAGGCACAAAGTTGGCAGCTCGAGCCACCGAACACTTGATGACGTTGATGAAACAACAATTCGACGGCAAGAACTCGGCAAATACGTAGGTTGATGTATTCTTTAACCATCCATGAAGGTTTTTCAGTCCTGATACAGCTGTCCTACTTGGCCTCAATGGAAGAAGAGTTGTCTTCACTCCGGTTGCCGAGTTGGCTGAGGTTTGTTGTTTTGTAAGCATTAAAATGGAGAAACATAGTCGGAAAATCCAAAAAGTAGCAATTAAGGATAATTTTTTTTCCTGGTCTTTGACCATTAAATTACGATTTCAAGATAAAACCGAAAATTTTTTTGCTCCTAACCCTTCTTTGAACCGGGAAATAATTCGAGAAATGACTACGATATTTTGAAAAGCGTTCTCAGTATAGAATTTTTTACCCAAAAAATGAGAATGTAGCTCGGACAAGTACATAATGAACAAATGTTGTTCAGGAAACCGATTTCACACATCGTTTACCCAATCAACAATGGTGGCTCAAATTGCGTCCCCTTCTTCGCATTTTGGCTAAACACGCGGACACCTATATGACTGAGGCACTCGAGGATTCGGAGGGAGAAGGGATTTAAGAAAATTTCTTTTTTTTTTCTATATAGGTTTCTTATAGTTAGAATTTAGCGGATTAGTTGTGAATCTGAAAACTTTTCGCTACTTATTGTACTGCTAACACCGATTTTGCCATAATTTGACTGGTCATGTGTATTTTATCCCATTTTTTAACAGTCCCGAAATGCTTTGTAGTTTTATTTGTATTTTAATAAATGATTTATGAAAAAGTTTCACTTTTTTAACCCCGACAAAATCCGCGAACACAACAGTTGCACGAGGCACCGAATTGGGAACGTTGGAAGAATGAAGACATCTGGAATTGGGGAATTTTTGAGTATACTGTAGTAAGAGCACGAAAAAGAATCCGGGCTCCAAAAAGTAAGCACTGAAACGGGGAAAAGACTGTATTTGTCTGATTGTCAATGGGCGTATAGCGGAAAAACGAGATTTGATCACTTAAAAGAGCTTTTTTTCAGGATTTCTTGAAATATAGAATTTTCGAAAGCTTTATCTTTTGGTCTAAAACCCTTTGACAGGTCTACTGACAATCAGATCAACAAATGAATAGCGCTAATACAATTTATCGTACTTATCATTTTCCCCGGAATCTACAGTATACCCAAGGATCGAAATCGTCATATGATTGGTTTTTTAAAATAAAAGCTCTTCACTTACCCCAAACCAGAAGCTGCTCTGGATCACCGATTGGCAACAACGGGTGCAATCCTGAAAAGAGAATTGGGGGAAAGGCTTTTGTGAGATTTGGAAAAGTTTTTGGACATTTTTAAGCAGTATCTAGAAAGTTATTGCTCAGTTATTTCTCAAGAACTCACAAATCCTCCACCAAATCCACCGCCAAAACCGAAACCGCACGAGCCGCCGCCACCGATTGGCACTTGACGGCAACCTGCAAATGAAAGGCTTTGAAGAAATTCGATTTTTGATATTTTGAAAAAACTTTTCTAGCATTCTGTAGTATTGATAAACTATCGTAATCAATTAATCAATAATCAATTTTATCTTATTTTCTGAAGAGTTCTTGTTTATTCTCGTAAACAAACTTGGTGGACACGACGGGAAATTTGGTGGTGGGAAGCGCGGTGGGAATGGGTTACCGCCGGGGAACTGAAAATTGAGATTAGAATCAAAATAGGATTGAAATCAATGAATTGTACCCCTCCTTGATTCGACGGTGGTGGGATTGGCTAAAAATCAAGGGATTTTTCTAAGCTTTATCCGAGAAAATCACCTGTGGAGGAGAGGGGAGAGGCTGCGGTGGGACTGGTTGAGGCTGGAATTGGGATAAGTTTTCGGGAAATTGCTTGTACTTCCCCAAGATCGATGCAACTAGTTTTCTAGCTCTATTAGCAAGGAGATCAGCAAGGAGATCAGCAAGCAGATCAGCAAGCAGATCAGCAAGGTGATCAGCAAGCAGATCAGCAAGGCGATCAGCAGCAGATCAGCAAGGTGATCAGCAGCAGATCAGCAAGGTGATCAGCAGCAGATCAGCAAGGTGATCAGCAGCAGATCAGCAAGGTGATCAGCAGCAGATCAGCAAGGTGATCAGCAGCAGATCAACAAGCAGATCAGCAAGGTGATCAGCAGCAGATCAGCAAGGTGATCAGCAGCAGATCAGCAAGGTGATCAGCAGCAGATCAGCAAGGTGATCAGCAGCAGATCAGCAAGGTGATCAGCAGCAGATCAACAAGCAGATCAGCAAGGTGATCAGCAGCAGATCAGCAAGGTGATCAGCAGCAGATCAGCAAGGTGATCAGCAGCAGATCAACAAGCAGATCAGCAAGGTGATCAGCAGCAGATCAGCAAGGAGATCAGCAAGCAGATCAGCAAGGTGATCAGCAGCAGATCAGCAAGGAGATCAGCAAGCAGATCAGCAAGGTGATCAGCAGCAGATCAACAAGCAGCTCAGCAAGCTGAACTCGATTTTTGCTGGGTTTTCAACGGAAAATTGGTTTTTTCAGATGGGTAGCTATTTGGATTCGGTTTTGAAAGCCTAACTCAGCACTCCATTGTTGCAATCATCTCACGCTTTGTTTTAATAGAAAATAGAAATATTTTTCTATAGTGAAGTCTTAAATTTAACGAGAAAAAACTTTCTCTATCTTTTTTATAAAACCTCAAAGTTTTCAGATTGGCAGGAGTTGCTTGACGGGTTTAGGCTTAGGATTTAACAAAAATTTTAGTGATAATAAACGTTTCAGCGCTTAATTTAATTTAATTTGGTTACATTTACCTAAAGCTTCAAGATCATTTAACAGAAATTGATAAATTTCGGTTGACACGGTCATCTTTTGAGAAGCCAACGCTTAGACTCATGTGAAGCAAGGATTCCCAATTATTTTGCTGAATTTAATGTCAATGTTACCATCTAATTTGTTTAATAATGTTTAAAAGGTATTGCAAAGACAAAGAAATGCTCAATCTGTTTTCTAGAAATGAAAAGCCGCCAAAAACAAGTGCAACGTCAAGCAACTTCTGACTAACAACTTTGATGGTCTATAAAAAACGATAGAAAAGTCTTTTCTAGTCAAATCTAAAAATCCAATATAGAAAAATATTTCAATATTCTATTAAAACAAAGCGTGGGATGATTGCACATCTGTGTGTTGAGTTACACTTAAATATCGAGTCCAGGTTCAATTCAAGTCCAATCATTGAAAACCCTCGACTCTAGGTAGGCCATAAAGTGAAAAGAATTGGCCTTCTATTTCTTTAAAAGTTAGCCATGAACTGTTCTGGCTTTTCCGAAGACTTTTTGGGTCATTTTGTGAAGCAAGAGTTGTGTTAACTGACCTGTTGTGGTTGTCCACCCATCTGTCCTCCACTTCCTCCACTTCCACTTCCTCCACCACCACTGTTTGACTTAAATTTAACACTTTTCCTATTCAATTTCCTATTAAGATCTAGAGAATGATCTAGAGAATGATCTAGGGAAAGATCTAGAGAATGATCTAGGGAATGATCTAGAGAATGATCTAGGGAAAGATCTAGAGAATGATCTAGGGAATGATCTAGGGAATGATCTAGGGAATGATCTAGAGAATGATCTAGAGAATGATCTAGAGAATGATCTAGGGAATGATCTAGGGAATGATCTAGGGAATGATCTAGGGAATGATCTAGGGATCTAAAGCAAAACTTATTAGAGAAAACACTCCAAAATCTCTCTTGATACTTGTCCATCTGTTTAGCGCTTTTATTTATTCAAAATTTGAATCGATTAAGCTAAAGCCATAAAGCTAATGAAGCCATGAAGCTTGGAAATGATGCTAATGACAAATAGCTAATGACAAAAATTCCAAAATTAGCATTTAATGATGTACATTTGATCTAGACTTAAATGAATGATTTGATAGACAAGTATCCTTTTGTAAACTCACTCCTCCTCCTGGAAAGCCACCGCCAGGGAAACCGCCTCTCTAAAACGTTTCGATTTTTCGTTTAGATTCAAGATTAAAAGGATTTATTTTAGTTCTAAATATAAGCAATGAAAATGACTGACCCCACCGTCTCCTCTCCCATCTCCGGAGCCTCTGCCACCGTCTCCTCTTCCTTCTCCGGAGTCTCTGCGACCGCCCTGCGAAGTTTTTTAATGCAAATTTGACAAAGGAATTTATGAAATAACTCTTAAAAAAATGTTGACTTTTAAAACTGTTTTTTTCTGAAACATAAAAAGGTTTATTTAATTTTGTCAGCTCCGAGCCAAAAAAGCCAAAAAAAGCCAATTTTGTCAGCTCCGAGCAGTTAACCCTTTTGTTACCTGTCAGCTCCAAACCAAACTAATATTTTAGTTACTATTGTTATTATTGAATGATTTGTCTATTCTTATGTAAACGTCTCCCCTGTGCTTATCCCTTTTATTGCAGAGAAGGGGCGATCCTTGGGATTGCCTAGGAGGACAAGTGAGACTCTGGATTTGGAGTCCCTCCTTCCCCTTACACTCATTTGTAATCTATTCATCTTATTGTACTACTGTAAATAAAGATACATATCTTCCGGGTTTATGCAACTGCAGTACAGGTCGGTCATTTCCCAAGGACTCCCCTCTAATCCGTTGGAGGAGTTGAGTTGGGTTGTCGGGGTGTTAGAGATGGCGGGATATCAAAAGGGATTCATTCTCTTTAACCTAACTCAAACTTTTCAAACTTTCACAAATACCACATGAGCTAACAGATTTTTGAGCCATTTTCCAGCTAATAGCACTTGATTGAAAGCTTTTATGTAGAAAAGAAATTTTAAAAAGGGCTGCTACGCAGGAGTACTCTTTACCCGGTCTTCTATTCGAAGAAATACGGTACTTACTCTAGGAACGCACTCTAGTTAAGATTATTTTAGGCAAATTTTTCTAAAGCTTACTCGTCCTCGATCGCCATCCCCTCGGTCACCGCCACCACCCTAAAAAAGTTCTTGGATTCTTGGTTCTCGGATTCTTGGTTCATGGAGGTGCATTTTTAGGTTTATAAAGTAATAAAGAGTCTGTTGTTCTGTTTCATTTCATTTCATTAGCATTTTTTGCTAGGCTTTTACTTTGCTTTGCTTTGTGCTTGCCCTTTCTAATGTATTCAATCCTCATCTCTGTCTGGGCACAATTAGGAAAGTCTAATAAATCAAATCTAATAAAGCAAGTCTAATAGCAAGCCTGAACAAGTCTAATAAGGCAAGTCTAATAAACAAGTCTAATAAAAAGCAAGTCTAATAAAGCAAGTCTAATAAAGCAAGTCTTATAAAGCAAGTCTAATAAGGCAAGTCTAATAAGGCAAGTCTAATAAGGCAAGTCTAATAAGGCAAGTCTAATAAGGCAAGTCTAATAAAAAGCAAGTCTAATAAACAAGTCTAATAAACAAGTCTAATAAGGCAAGTCTAATAAAAAGCAAGTCTAATAAACAAGTCTAATAAAGCAAGTCTAATAAGGCAAGTCTAATAGCAAGTCTTAAACAAGTCTAATAAAAAGATTAACTCCACTAAAAAGATTATTTCATTTTTGAGCAATAAAAGAACAATTTAAAGATTAATTAGCAATATAAATATTGCTAGATACAGTCCTGGACAAAGAAATATGATATTTGAAAAACGATCGTCACTTTCGCGCGCCTGTAACTCCCTTGTCTTTGAGTTTAAACTATTGGTGTTATACATTTTCTGAAAGCTCTTTTCAAGGGCTACACAATGGTAATATTAATATTTAGAAATACGGTAAAGACAAGAGAGTTACAGGCGTGCGAAAGTGACGATCTTTTTTCAAATATCATATTTCATTGTCCAGTAGTGTATTTGACGTTAAAAGTAGTACCGTTTCCTTGATTTTAAGAAATCTTAATGTGAAAGCTTATAGAAACACTTTCTACTATTTTCTAACAAGAGATTTCAATATTATTGTGGAAAATGAAGGTTTTATTGCACTAGAATAGGTGTTGATGTCTTTTTTTGGGGTAGGCTAGTTTCCGCAACTTTTTTTGCGCAACAGGGTCATTTGCGCAACTGGGTCATTTGCGCAACTCGGCATAACTTTCTTCTAAGTGAACCAATCTTTATGATTTTGGTGTCATTTTGTAGATCTCAATAAGTGCAACAAAATGAAACCAAAAGCATAAAGATTGGCCGACTTAGAAGAAAGTTATAGCGAGTTGCGCAAACGACCCAGTTGACAAACGACTAGGTCGTTTGGCTCGGCATAACTTTCTTCTAAGTCATCCAATTTTTATCATTTTGGTTTCATTTTGTTGCACTTATTGAGATCTACAAAATGAAACCAAAAGCATAAAGATTGGCTGACTTAAAAGAAAGTTATGGCGGTTTGCGCAAATGACCCTGTTGCGCAAAAAAAAGTTGCGGAAACTAGCCTACCCCCTTTTTTTGAATCTAGAACAAATCCAGAACGAATCCAGAAGAATACTATTCAAAAAAAAACGAACCCGTTGAGCGAAAGCGATTCCGAAAAGCACAATGAGAATCCCGAATTTCATTTTTGGTTGAGAGAACCATAAGAAAATTTTCTAGTTTTCAAGAATTTATATGAAAACATGATTCAAAAACTTTCATATATTTTGTCTGGGAGAGGGGAAATCGAAGCTGAATCGAAAAGGAGAAGGAATCTGAATCCAAAAGGAAATAAAATCCAAAAGAAATAGAAGAAATGAATCAGAAATCTTCTAGAAACATTATTTGTCTAAAGATTTTTGCGAAGATCAAAAATGAAAATCTGAGTTTTTTTTTTGTCACTTTATATGTACTTCTATTTTCTTTATATTCAAAAAAGAATTCATTTATTCTCCATTAAAACAGAAAGATTGTGTGCAACAAGAGCAAAATGATTGACGACCGTCGAATGAAAGACGGGATGAAAGCTGAAAGTTGGGATATTGAAATTGAAAGATATTTGGTAGTAGGGTCAATATCGTTTGCGCAACTCGCTATAACTTTCTTCTAAGTCGGCCAATCTTTATGCTTTTGGTGTCATTTTGTTGCACTTATTGAGATCTACAAAATGACACCAAAATCATAAAGATTGGTTCACTTAGAAGAAAGTTATGCCGAGTTGCGCAAATGACCCAATTGACAAACGACTAGGTCATTTGGCTCGGCATAACTTTCTTCTAAGTCATCCAATTTTTATCATTTTGGTGTCATTTTGTAGATCTCAATAAGTGCAACAAAATGAAACCAAAAGCATAAAGATTGGTTCACTTAGAAGAAAGTTATAGCGAGTTGCGCAAATGACCCAATTGACAAACGACTAGGTCGTTTGGCTCGGCATAACTTTCTTCTAAGTGAACCAATCTTTATGATTTTGGTGTCATTTTGTAGATCTCAATAAGTGCAACAAAATGAAACCAAAAGCATAAAGATTGGCCGACTTAGAAGAAAGTTATGGCGGTTTGCGCAAACGACCCTGTTGCGCAAATGACGCAAATGAAAGTTGACGTCATTTCCTTTTCAAACCAAGCGCAAATGACCTTGTTGCGCAAATAAAATGGCGGAAATTAGCCTACCCCCTATTGGCTTTGGATCTTTGGATCACTTATTGAGATCTACAAAATGAAACCAAAATCATAAAGATTGGTCGACTTAAAAGAAAGTTAAAGATTAAACGATTTTATAAAAGTTTCTCTGAAAGTTGACGTCATTTCCTTTTCAAAACCCAATCGTTAAGATTAGGGGGTAGGCTAGTTTCCGCAACTGGGTCATTTGCGCAACTGGGTCGTTCGCACAACTCGCCATAACTTTCTTCTAAGTGAACCAATCTTTATGCTTTTGGTTTCATTTTGTAGATCTCAATAAGTGCAACAAAATGAAACCAAAATCGGTACTAGAATTGCACTACATCTGATACTTGTACCTTTTGAAAGCAAATTCAACGTTTTTTTCAACGTTCAACAGTCAAGGTACGAAAATTCGTAGATTGCCAACGGCAAACGGACCGTAAAAAGGCGGTAACAAGGCTGCTTGGTGGCGATAGAAAATAGAGTGTGTTCCTCGCGAGTAAGTAATTACTCGAGTAATAGCTCGAGTAAAGCGTTTTCTAAAAAGTGCGCCTGCGCGAAAAACATATAAAAGCTATTTTTTGGCGCAACTTTTTCAAAAAAAAAAAAAAATTTTTATATTGAAAGGGGAATTTCCCACCGAATCAGTTAAACGGCTGAGTATCTTTAAAAAGTGTCGTATATAATGCGGGGCTCGTCATTTTGACCGGCATTTTGGGAGTGGGACAAATGCGACCTTTTTTTGCGCACCCGAACATTTGCGCACCTTTTTTTCCGCACCTTGCCCATTAGCGCACCTTTTTTCGCGTTTTAAAAAGCTCTAAAAGCTAATATTAACCAATTTCTATTCCAAAAGCTGTTTTTCTAGGTAATTTGAAGGTGTCGAATTCAAATTTTAACATAACAGAGCTTGTGGAACCAATTTGAAAGACAAAGAGAAAGACAAAACGGCTAGATCAAATTACAGAAAATTGTCGATTTTTCTCTTTGTATAACTCCGTCCGTTTGTTTCCACAAGCTCTGATATGTCAAAATTTGAATTCGACACCCTCAAATTACCTAGAAAAACAGCTTTTGGAATAGAGATTGGTTAATGTTAGCTTTTAGAGCTTTTTTAAAACGCGGAAAAAGGTGCGCTAATGGGCAAGGTGCGGAAAAAAAGGTGCGCAAATGTCCAGGTGCGCAAAAAAAGGTCGCATTTGTCCCACTCCCGGCATTTTGACTGTTTTGACTAGTCCTCACTTTTCTAGAGGCAATTTCTTTGATATAGCTCCAGCTCCAGCACCAGCTATTTTTTGCAATCATTTTCACTAAATGTACGCTAATTTTTCCCAATTGTGCGTTTTAAACAAACGCATTACTCGCGAGGAACACACTCTAATAACAAATGTGTCGGTGTAGCTCATTGGTAGAGCGTTCGCCTAAGCGAGAGGTCACGGGTTCGACTCCCGACTTTATGCAGTTGTATTTCAATCGATAAAAGGACCGACGTTCAGTTTAAATGATAGCTTTGACTGGATCTGATACAAATTACACCAGAACCAGATAGAAATGAACCTTTGAGTACCAACTTTGAGTACCAGCGCTCCTGATCAGTCAGAAGTGTTTAAACCAGAATCTAGGACAGCTCCGGCTTCCGGCTTGCTTAGGTTTATGGATTAACAGACCAAGACTCAGGACTAACCAATCCTAACCCGGTTTTGAAAGGAAAATCCCTAAACAGGGTCTGGTACTAGAGGAAATTTGTTCAGCGTCTCTGGTACCATAAAGGTCTGGTACTAGAGGGTCTGGTATTCATGAAAATTCACTTGCCAATAGGTTTTCAATGGGTTTCAATGGTTCAATGGGTTTCGATGGTTCAATTTCAATGATACCATTTAAAAACTGACCCGATTCCAGTGACGAGAAGAGATTTGACTGCGGCAACAACGATCACAGCTCTAAAAAAAAGAATTTCTAAAGGTTTTATAGTTGTTAAGTGACTAGTTGTTAAGTTTATTTTTAAAATAATCTTTTACCAATGATTGAGAACCACGTCGGAATGTCCATGTGCACGGATCATGATCGGAGAATTCCGTTGTGAAAACAGGGATTTGTTGGCAAGCTGGGTAAATGCATACATGGTGCGTCATAATTATTGCAACAAGAGTTCAAAGACCGTTTTCCAAACAGCTTTCTTATTGTTTTTTGCCTCCTTTTTTGTTGTGTTGCGTTCGATCTTCTTTATTCTTGCCTAATTGCCTCCCGCTGACACGAAGAAGACGGTTCAGGACTGGTGTGTGGCCAACTTTCCCTCAGTGATCACCAAGGATGAATGGCCTCCAAACTCACCGGATCTCAATGTGATGGACTTTTCCATTTGGGCAATCTTAGAGGCTAATGTCTGCTCTCGAAAACACACAAGTTTGGATTCTTTGAAGAAGTCTTTGACCAAAGGATGGAAGGCGACTCCTCAAGCTGACATTCGGGCCACAGTGGAGGCATATCCGAACCAATTAAGGGCTGTTATCAAGGCAAAAGGCGGTCATATCGAATGATCTCTTGTTTCCTTATTTGTTACTGTTAAATAAAGCTATTTCTGTTTAAAAATCTTCTTCCAGTGAAACTTCTTGGTGTGCAATGCCTTGAGTATCTTGTTGCAATAATTATGACGCACCCTGTAGTTAAGGAACTTCGGTCCTTTGGTTGAATTTTAGGAAAAATGAAAAGAAGAAGAATTGAGTGCACTAGAAAGGGTATGTTTTTAAGCACAAAGTGCACCAGAAAGGGTATGTTTTTAAGTACTCACTTGGCCGACACGATCGTGGTGGAAAGGGGAACTGAAGAAGGAAACTTGAGTAAAGAAAGTCCAAAAAAACAAACTCTTTGCAATGGTCGAGACGGGAAAGTGATGAATGGCTGAAATGGGGAATAAAGAGATCACGATAAACGGTAATTTGCAAAAGTTGACACGCTTTAGAAAACGAATCAAAGAATTCTGGCCCAGCTACAGCTTTCGTACTTCATTTTACTATATAACCTTCATTTTACTATAAAAACTAAAGCCATTTAAGTTTCCTTAAGCATTTTACAACTCACAATTGGCTGTAGACTGAAAATCACTGAAATAACAATCAGAAAACTTTCAGGAACTTATTTTTAAATCAAAAATTGTTCTATAGAAGGTAATTGAATACAATTATTATCTAATTATCACCATAGGAGCTGAAGATGGAATGGCTACAGATGCTGGAACGGGCTGAGGTTGAGGCTGAGGCTGGGGCTAAACAGCTTTTAAATTAGAAATTCTTGAACTATAATTCTCGCTAAACATTATCGAAATATAATAAAGCTGTGATTTACATAAAACTAGATAAATATTAAACTGGATACCATCATTGGTGCAGGACTTGGCTGGGGTTGAGGCTGCGGTTGAGGCTGCGGTTGAGGCTGCGGTTGTGGCTGTGGCTGAGGCTGTGGCTGAAGCTGTGGCTGAGGCTGAGGCTGAGGCTGTGGCTGAGGCTAAACAGCTTTTAAATCGAAAATTTGTTAAAAAAGCTATTAAAAACAACAGAATTGTTAAGTTGTAGTTGATAGTTTGTATCTAATTGTTACCATGGGTGCTGGGAATGGAGTTATAACTGGAACAGGAGCCGGAGCTGGTTGTGGTTGAGGCTAAAGAGAGCCTGGCAGTTAAAACTCTGGGTGTTGGTAAAAAAAGCTATAAAAGTTATAATAAACTGATATATACATATAAAGTTTATATTCAAACATTACAGGGATTGGTGCTGGAACTGGAGCTGGAGCTGGAGCTGGAGCTGGAGCTGGGGCTGGAGCTGGTGCTGGAGCTGGAGCTGGGGCTGAAGCTGGAGCTGGAGTTGGAGCCGGAACTGGGGCTGGTGCTGGGGCTGGAGCCGGAGCTAGGGCTGGAGCTGGAGCTGGAGCTGGAGCTGGAGCTGGAGCTGGAGCTGGAGCGGGGGCTGGAGCTGGAGCGGGGGCTGGAGCTGGAGCTGGAGCTGGAGCCGGAGCTAGGACTGGAGCTGGAGCTGGCACTGGCATGGGTTGTGGTTGAGGCATAGGTGATGGTTGTGGTTGAGGAGCTGGCTGAAATTCCCACTAATTCCGTTACTGTTTTATAAAGCTTTAGTATTACAGTACTGTCAAATATGCAAATTTAAACTTGTAGACTTGAATGGGCAATGAATTGCAATTGCAATTCATGCATGAACTGGAATTGCAATTCATGCATGAATTGCAATTCCAGCGGTCGTGGTAAGGTTTATTGCAATGAATTGCAATTAAACCTTACCACGAGCGCTGGAATTGCTGGTTGCGGCAGTGGAGCTGGCTGAAATTCTGAATGTATAAGGGCTATTTAAAAACTGATATCACTAAAGAATACAAGTTCTAACTTTCATAAGTTCGATTTGTTTCAATTTTAATGAAATGAATTCCAACTCGAAACCATAAATCTATCCAGAAATTCTTCTCGTTCCTTTTTTCCAAAAAAATAACAATAACCTATGATTTCCATTAAATTAAAAATGTTCTAAGTGCTCTAAATGTTCTAAAAAGTGCTCTAAATAATGTTCTAAATCTTCTAAATAAAACATTGTTCAGTTTCCCATCTTTTTAAGTCAATTTCCGCTCACTTAGAGGTAAATTCAAGAGAGAAAACACGTGTTTTTCGAAAAAATCTTTCAAAACCTCTACAAAGAAAATGGTTGAATGAATTTCTCTGAAAATTTCGCTATATACCAGCCTTTTTGTGCTCTATCTTTTATCTATTGACACCAAGGTTTCCTCAGCTAAAGTGTCCGCATCAACAAGCCGTCGCCCTTTTTGACTACCCGACTTCAAGCTCTCAAAAAATGCAGGCATAAGACATTTTAAACCCATTTTAATGTTATTTTGCAGAAAAATAATTGGCCTTTCTAATTAAATAAACCGTAGTTCAATTAATGCATTTGTTGCTTTTAAATGGAAGCACGAAAATGAACGAAAAGACTTTCTGGACCCTCTAATACCAACCGATGGTTGTGGAGCTGGAATTGGAACTGGAGCTGGAACTAGAGCTGGAGCTGGTGGAGCTGGAACTGGAGCCGGAACTAGAGCTGGAGCTGGTGGAGGTGGAGGTGGAAGTGGTTGAGTCTGAGGTGATTGTGGTGGAGAGGCGGGTGATTGCTAAAAATTTTAAAGCTCTAACAAGCTTGCTGAGCAAAGGATCATGCTTTTAAGTAATAAAGCTATACTTAGAATGCTTTTACACATATTTTTCTCACGATTCAAGATAAAGGATCCATTTGTGAACCTGTGGTTTAAATGGTGGTTGTCCGGGTTGTTCAGATTGCGGTCGGGGTCTCTGAAAAGGGAATTTTTGAAAGCGGAAGATCTTTTCTTACTCTAGGCCTGTGTGGAGGTGTCGAATTTGAGAGATTTGGCTTAAAAAAGGCTTTGAAAAATGACTTTTACAAACCTGTGGTTGTTGGGATGAGTTGACGACTTTGGGAGTGCCATTCACCTTAGAAAAGGGGTTATTTTGATTTATTAAGTACACAATAAATCCGCAAATGGAGACTTATCTTTAGCAGTTGAAAGACCCGGCTAATGGGTGGGTTTTTCTAGTCAATTTTCTGGTCACCGTGGCGCAGTCGCGCGCGCTCTTGTTCGCGCTTTGTTTCCAGCTCGCAGGAGCTGGGTTCGACACCCCGGTTCGACACCCCGGTTCGACACCCCGGTTCGACACCCCGGTTCGACACCCCGGTTCGACACCCCGGTTCGACACCCCGGTTCGACACCCCGGTTCGACACCCCGGTTCGACACCCCGGTTCGACACCCCGGTTCGACACCCCGGTTCGACACCCCGGTTCGACACCCCGGTTCGACACCCCGGTTCGACACCCCGGTTCGACACCCCGGTTCGACACCCCGGTTCGACACCCCGGTTCGACACCCCGGTTCGACACCCCGGTTCGACACCCCGGTTCGACACCCCGGTTCGACACCCCGGTTCGACACCCCGGTTCGACACCCCGGTTCGACACCCCGGTTCGACACCCCGGTTCGACACCCCGGTTCGACACCCCGGTTCACTTAATTTTGGAATCATTTGATGAGGAATTACAAGCGTCACTCAAAAATTGGCTGATAGCTGATAATTTGGCTGTAAAATGATAGCTTGGTTGCACTAGTTTTCCAAAATAAGTCTAGAAAACGTTCTAGAGTCAAAATACGTCTAAGAAGCGCATTCGGGGTGTACTTTGTGCTAAAAAATCGGAAACACATCGTTTCTGGACTCGCCGAAGAGGCCAGAGGGTGTATTTTTGATTTTTGAGCTCAATCGAAAGAACAAAATCTTTCAACGCCTTTCAATTACCACAATAACAACATCTTGAGCCAAAATTGCACCAATGAATAGCAGAAAAAGTCTCATTTTTGATTTCCCTTTGAAAAGAACTAAAATCCAATAAAAAAATGAGCTTTTATCGTAGATTTCGTTTATATTTTGGCTTGATTTTTTGATTCATTTCATTTCAAATATCAATAATGAATTATGAGCAATTTTTCATCAAAATCTAGAACTTTTTTTGCTTTTTCTAACTCGACTGTCAAATGTTTATGTTTAAAAAGCTTCATTTTAACTTCAGATTCTGTTTTGCGGGTAGAGAAGCTGCTGGAATGTAGATAAGACTGAAAGCTGACTGAAATATGACTTATTTACAGGTTTAGTTTGAATGATTTATTGATAAGTTGAAGGTTTTTGTTGAAAGAATCACACAATTCCCGAAACTTGAGTTGAAAGAACGCAATTCCCGTATTGGAACCGTATTGAAATCGTATTGGAACCGTCATGGAACCGTGTTGGCACCGTCATGGAACCGTATTGGAATCGTATTGGAATCGTATTGGAACCGTATTGGAATCGTATTGGAACCGTATTGGAATCGTATTAGATCCAAAGAAGAACCGTATTGGAACCGTATTAGATCCAAAAAGGAACCGTATTGGGACCGTATTAGATCCAAAAAGGAACCGTATTCGAACCGTATTGGGTCTATTGGAGTCTTTTCAAAGGCCAAACTGAAATCGGCCTTTGATCTTTTGATCGGCTTTTGCTGAAACGGGAAATCTTTCGATCATTTCCATCCAATCACTGTCATTCTCGAAGATTCTGGATAAGACAATTGTTTTTTTCTTTGAAATTCTTCCCACCATTCAGTTTTGGGAAAGAAAAATGGACAATCAGACTTTGAGCTTAAGTCCAATTGTTCTTCTTGTTCCAATTGTTCTTAAGTCCATGTTCATCTGCTCCTCTTTCCAATCCACTTAAATCGTCGAAGATCCAGTGAGCTTTTAATTTCTTGATCGATTCCGGTAGTTTCAAGCATCTTTTAGAAAATCGGAAAGCTTTTATATAACTATTTTATAGATATTTTCTTTTTCGAAGCCAACAAACCGTTACGATCAAAATCAGAAAGAAATTCCAGAGACTAATCAATCTTTTTTGAACATTTTAAAGCATTTTGATTCATTTTTTTTGTTTACAAATTGATCAAATTGCAAAAAAAAACATGAAAACTATTTAAAGCCGCAATTTTGGCAATTGATTTGACTGCTCTGTGATTCTTGAGGTATGTCAGCTCGGAACCAAACTGATATTTTAGTTACTATTGTTATTATTGAATGATTTGTCTATTCTTATGTGTTCTCCCCTGTGCTTATCCCTTTTATTGCCGAGAAGGGTCGGTCCTTGGGATTGCCTAGGAGGACAATTGAGGCTCTCGCTTGGAGTCCCTCCTTCCCCTTACACTCATTTGTAATCTATTCGTCTTATCGTACTACTGTAAATAAAGGTACGTATCTTCCGGTAGTAGCAACTGCAGTTCAGGTCGTTCATTTCACAGGGACTCCCCTCGTTGGAGGAGTTGAGTTGGGTTGTCGGGGTGTTAAAGATGACGGGATATCAAAAGGGATCCACTCTCTTTAACTTAACCCAAATTCTAGTCCATATCCGTTTATACCTAGGAAGGTATCTATCTATCTATCTATCTATCAATCTCTCTATCTATCTCTCTATCTCTCTATCTATCTCTCTATCTATCTATCTATCTCTCTATCTATCTATCTATCTCTCTATCTATCTCTCTATCTCTCTATCTATCTCTCTATCTATCTATCTATCTCTCTATCTATCTATCTCTCTATCTATCTATCTATCTATCTATCTATCTATCTTTTGGGTTTGTTTTGAGTGGTGTCCCGGGTAATTATTGTGATTTTGTTTGTGTCGCTATTCAACTGAATAAAGCATATATCTAATCTACCTTCAAAAGTCTTTGTTTTAAGAAATCTCTTCAAAAACTATTTATTAAATTTATTCAATTAACTGATAGCTCAAGCTCCGACTTTTCGTGAACAATATTGAAAATCACTTGAAGAAACAATGAGAATTTGTCTAAAGCTTATTTAAATCAAAAAAGTGAAAGAACTAACCTTCAAAGCCATTTAATTTCCGCAGCACATTTCCTTTCCAAGAAAGCAAATAATAAATGGCAATAAAAACTGAAATTCTCCGAATTTGGAGGTCAATTTTTGATGATTACTCAAAAATAATCCAAATCCAACGATTGTCCCTGATGGATCTTTGACTATTGGAATGATTATTAGAGAAATTGAGATGACGAAAACGGTGAGATGAATGAGCATTGGGAACTGAACGAATTCATTGGATAAGCCACAGTATTCTTTTGCTAAAAGATGCTTCCCAGAAAAATCTATCGTAATCCTTAGCTTTGGTGAAAAAAATGGCATTAAGTCACCTCAAAAACAGGCTCGCTCATTTGTTTTAATTTGAAAAACAGCTGGATTACAGTGACTACAGTATCTTCTTAGAATCGACTACGCTGACTCTGAATCCGTTTTCAGTTTTGGCCCTTGAGGCCTGTAACGCGAGAGATTTAGGTTACAAGCCTCCTTACTTGGGTTCATTTTTCGCGAGCCAACGTGGTGCATTGCTAAAGGCTTAGGCTTAGGCTTAGGCTCAGGCTTAGGCTCAGGCTCAGGCCCAGGCTTAGGCTTAGACTTAGACCTTGAGCCTGAGCGTCCAAATGAATCTTTATCGATTCTTTTTTATCGAGTCTTTAATTGAGAGCCTCTTATAACGTGTAAACCTGCAAAACATTAAAAACAAAAGAAGCCTCAAGACAAAACCCTGGGAGGGAATCGAACCAGACCTCTAGACGGCAACTTTAGACCCGTAGTCGACAGCTTTGTCAATGCACTATGTTGCTAGCTGGGTCCGTCGCGAAAAACGAACTCAAGTAAGGAGTAAAACTAAAAGTAAGTAACACTTGTAACTCAGATATCTCGAGTTACAAGCCTCCAGGGGAAAAATTGAAAACAGATTCAGAATCAGCGTAGTCGATTCTATAAGATGGAGTTGCTTTCGTTTTAAAAGGACACAGAGAACTGACGTCTTTCCCTAGTTAATCGTATGGGACAATTTTTGCACCTTGATAGCCAGTGGATTGACGGGAATTCGCTTGAGACGGAGAAAAATCAAAGCTGCCACTGTGGTTGTACTGCTCATTGTACCTAAAAAAATGAGGATATCAATTGTATAGCACTTTTGAGCTTAAAATTTTGATCTTACAAGTGCTCTTACTTGCCACCATTGCCCAATTGATGAGCGTTTCGATTTGGCCAACGAATGAAACGCAAATCGCGAGAGAGACATGGAAAAAGAGGGCCACTCGGGGTGATCCGCTTTCCTCATGGATAAGTGACAGAAATTTTGGCATCATTTTCGCTCGTGATCCAGCCAGTAACGAGCTGAAGAGATAGATTTATTTTATTAAGCTAAGAAGCTAAGAGCTAAGAAGCTAAAAGCTAAGAAGCTAAGTTTATTCAGCTATTGAGCTATTGAGTTTGGCAATTAAAGTAGCTAAGAAAATGGGGACAAGAATGTACTTTGATCACTAGCAACATTCTCTGGCACACAGCTGCTTTGTCTCTCTGTTATCTGGCTTTATCTGGCATACACAACAAAAGAATTGTGCCAGAAACGTTGGTTTACATAAGGAAAAGAAAGCAAAACCAACCGACTCCAGGCAAAAAGATCGGAATTGATTGCACTGATCATTAAAAGAGCAATGATTACAGGCATTATATAGGACAAATCGCCAAGGGTTTTCTCGCTGAATTTCTGAAAAATGAATGCTGAGAATTTCTTGATGTAAAGAAGTTCAATTTTCACAAACACTAGCCACCACATCGGAGTTAAGAATTTCTTGTGGAGTGAGAATGATGAAATAAGCGATGTTTACGAGAAGATAAGTGATTGCAGCAATCGAGAGACCACCAATCACAGCGATTGGGAGGATTCTAAAAGAAAAAAAAATCTACTGTGCTCTTTGAAACACATCCTTTTGTGGCGTATACTATTGATGAAGGAAATGCTCATTAATTGTACGAGGAAGGGTGTGTTTACAAGTTTAAGCACAAAGTACACACACTTTTCTGGGAAGCTGAAAAGTTAAAGCTATCATTTTGCCAGAAATGGTCTGTTTTTGAAAGTACAAAGTACTGGCTACAAAGTACTAGCTTTCCAGTACTTTATAGCCAGTGCAAAGTAGCTACAAAGTACTAGCTTTTCAATGTTTTCCAAAGTACTGGCTTTCCAATGTTTCCATAAATAAATCAGCGTAATAAATTCGGTTTATCGTTTTTCGATCAACAGCTTACTTTCTAATATCTTTCTGTTCAATATCTTCAGTTCCAAAATTGAGCGTATCAAAGCCACCATAAGCCCAGATGCCAGCATACAATGAGAGAACGATTGAGCCTAGAATTCCCTTTAATTTCTCTAAACAACTTTACCAGAAAGGATTTGTTTCCATTTTTTTGAGCACAAAGAACAAAGTAGTGTAAGTCTAAATATTAGCAACTCATTAGCAACAAACCCGGATCACTTTTTGAGTCCTTCCACAAAACATCAAATGAAAGATGTGATTGATTTACTTAAAATCTTGCAATAATGAATAAATTTGCATATTTGGATACCTTTAAAAATCATATAATAAAACCCAGTGATAATCAATGTCGAAATTGCAATCAATTTGCTGATAGTGATGACGATTTGAATTTTGGAGGCGTACTTTTTCAGGGAAAAGAAATTCGCCCATAGAAGAAGCCCTATTCGAAAAAAATTTTTTTTTTGTTAAAATGAGTAGTTGACATACAAATCAATGAGAAACCAAGTAATTGCTGAAGTAATTTTCGTGACGTTTGAGTGAATGCGAAATTGAAAGGAGAAAGAGATTCGAGCATGTAACTGCCAAAAGTTTCAAAGAGAATTGCGCAGACACAAGAGCTAAATTTTGTTCAATGATGCTTTCAACATTTTACCGTAATCTATATAAGTTTTGTATAAATTTTCCAATCGATAACATACGATTGAATCAAATTGGAAAGCCAAAGAAAAGCGAATGCTAACGGTTTCCATTTCACGAAATTTATATAGGCAAAATCGGAACCATTAATCGGAATCGATGTCGCCAATTCGATGTAAACCTGGAAAGAGATTTTGGTGCAAAAGTGGGGAATATTGCGTCAACAACAACTACCGTATTTCTTCGAATAGAAGACCGGGTAAAGAGTATGATCGCGTACTCCTGCGTAGCAGCCCTTTCTTTTCTGCATAAAAGCTTTCAATCAAGTGCTATAGAGCTGGAAAATGACTCAAAAATACCACATGAGCTAACAGATTTTTGAGTCATTTTCCAGCTCTATAGCACTTGATTGAAAGCTTTTATGCAGAAAAGAAAGGGCTGCTACGCAGGAGTACGCGATCATACTCTTTACCCGGTCTTCTATTCGAAGAAATACGGTATATGATTGCCATCTGTAAACTCGTCTCTTGACATGTTGAAATTTTACACTGGGGCTTTTTGATGATGCTAAATCGATTGATATTTTCAAAATATAATTTCTTATTATTTTGATGCTATTACATATAGGCCCGGCTTTGATATTTTCTTTTTTGATGCTCAATTCGAAAAACCTCGATCTTTCTAAAGCAGTCCCATATCGATCAGCCAATCATCGAAATGCTTGTCACTCCTGATCGCGAGTTTGGGTCGTTCTTCTTAAGAGGTTAAACGCCTTCAATTCAAGCCTAGCCACCGCTGCTAAACCTGCTTGCGCCATACACTAAAAAACTTCAGAAAAGTTACAAAACTGAGGAAAAAGCATCAAAAAGCAAAAAAAATATCAAAGTCGGGTCCATGTGTAATAACATCAAACTAACAAGACATCATAGTTTGAAAATATCACCAACTGATTTAGCATCATCAAAAACCCCCAGGGTAAAATTTCAACATGTCAAGATGAGTTCACAGATTGCCCTCCCCCCAACTACCTTTGCACCGAGATTTTAAAATTTTTATCCGAAAAAGGTTTTTAGATTGGTTTGAAACCGTAAAAGTGAGTCGAATCATTTGTGGAATAGGGGACAAACCAAAGCTGTTAGCAGAGCGATCACCGCTCCAATCAGCCAACAAAGAAGTGAGAGCCCGATCGAGCCGGAATGCTCGAGAACGGTTTTTGGAGAAACGAAAATGCCAGCTCCAATGATCGATCCTGGAAATGTCTGTAGAGTTAAATGCGAATACTTTCGTACAAATACCTGCAATGTAACTGATTGCTCCAAAGATACCCAATTTGTTGTTGCTTCTCGGCATCGTTTGTTTTGCAAAGAGAAATCCTTCAAAATATAATATTTTTCAAGCTGACGAAAATTTGCTCAAAAGAACACGTATTCAATTTTTGTCCATTTTTTCTTATTGTTAGATCTCTTTTTGAGATATCAGTGTTCATCACAGAGCAATCCTTTGTTCAATAATAGAGCCTTTTGCTTGCTTATCTTCTTTTGTTTGGTCAAGCACAGAAAAGGAAGTGCTTTGAAAAGGTTTAGCTATTCAGAAACTATACATTTGTGCTTTTGTTCTAGCATCATACACTTACACTTTCCAGACTGCTTACGATAGCACCAACGATTTGACGTTGTTTTAAGTTTTTAAGACTTTTTGGTCGCCCAAAATAATATTAATATCTTAACGTTTATTCAAATCCATAACAAAGCGTTGCAATTTCCAACTCGGGGAAAAAAGTATTAGCTGAAAAGATTTAAACTACTAGATTAGGGGGAAAACAATTGTTAGTGGTGTTTTTCTTTCTTCAGCGAAGAAATGTAAGAAAGATAGAAAAAGCGTGAAAACAATCCGACAAAGCTCAACTCCATGAATAGGCAGATGTAGAAGGTCGGGAAGTGGGTGGCTTGTTTACAATCTAAATGCTTAGGTTAAGAATTATTGCAGAAAGTGAAACTGACCCCATTTTAAATAGAGGTAATACGCGTAGAATTGTGCACTGATCGAGAGGAAGAATTGAGTGATCTGTGCCATCGTCAAGCACTTGGCAAACCAACTTGGAACATGGAATTGGGCAGCTCGGCAGAAAAAGTAGCTAAAGTAGATATATTTTTCGAATTCAACTAGCTTTTACCTGTACATGAAAGAGTGAATTGCAAAATTTATGAGGCCAATGTATAGATGAACACCCTTCATCGTTTCGTAAGACCAGATACTGAAAATTTCGCAAAATAAAAAAGATAGTAAGACGTACCAGTAGTTGAGAGTAAAGATGTGGTGATACCAGTGTAGAAAAATCAATGGCCGCTTTCTTAGCACGATGAAAATTGTATCTCCCAGCTCAATCACCTTGCTCCACACAAAGAGAACCTAACAATGCTCCATAGTTTTTCAGTAACCACGTCTAACAACCTGATACCACCCGGACCAACCATTCAAAATGTTTGTCTCCAGTGGATTGCAAAAAGCCGCTATAAAACAAGCTATACTCTCTCGAAACAAAACCTACAATCAAATCCATTATGATAAATGTCCACCAATGTTTCATGTCCGACCACACAAAAACCAACACCGCTGAAGATCCCCAAACCAAGATTCCACAAAGCCAATGGAGTCGTTAACTAAATTACAAATTGATATATTTCAATACAAAAATTAACCTGAAACGGCTTTCGATTGCGAAGAAAATATCTGATTGAAAATATTGTGATGACGTAGAGAAGCGTTATGATGAATCCGGCAGGTCGAGCATTTTCCATAAACTCAACAGACTCAGAGAAGCGAAATGTTGATGGAGGGCGTGAAAGCTAAACATCGTGGTCGTAAAAAGAAAGTTTGACGCCATAATACATCAGTTGCCAACAAAGTAACTTTTTAGACTTTAAGTAGGTAACTAACAAAAGCTACCGCATACCTGTAATAATGAAAAAACTCACCATGGCAAACATTCCCAACATTCTTGAGCAACGGTGCAAGTTCTCTAAAATCGTCAACATTAGCAAGTTTATTTTTTAAACACAAAAGAATATCAAGCATTTACTTGCCATTTTCAAACCCAACATTCAATGTTCCATTGTACTAAAATTTTTATTTCTAAACGCTATACAACAAGCACAATAAGCAAAATGTTAGCAGTTATTTCACAGTAGTTAGCAAAAAAAATCAACAACAACAAAACACAACAATTTTTTAACTTCAATCGTAGCGACGCTTCTCGAATTCTTGTCCAGTAGTACATTCATCGCATCCCTTACCAACTTCCTGATGCTCATTGTTGATAAACTAAAAGTTTTGTTTAGAAAGGTCACAGCGTTGATTTGCTACAACAGCAAACACTTACGTGAATTGTAGCCACGGAGAGGTCGACTATGTCTTGCGAAGAGATCGAAGTAATTTTGCCAATTGTTGCAGACACCTAAAAAGCTAGTCATTACTTTTATGTAGCATTTAATCCCACCGCGTCAGCACGCTCGAAGCCATACACACAAGCAATGGCACAAGTTAAGCATGAGCATCCAATCAACAGCCAGTCACCTTTTACTGGACTAAAAAAAGGAGATACTTAAGATCCACATTTTAAAAAAAATACATTTTCCGGCTCGTCAACGTCTGAGATGTAATATTGGCCAAGTTAGTTTGCAACTGTGCTATGATCTAGAATACGTCGGATAATACGTCGCAATACTAAATTATATCTCACTTCATTTAAAAAGCTGAACATGACATCAAGGAAAAGCACCGCATGTTCCCAGATCACATTGGGATGCTCGAGATTTATATCGTATCGATCTAAAAGCAGTTGATGATTGAAAAAGTAATATTATACCCAAAGTTTTAAGAACGCTTTCAATATAAGTGATCGGTGAAAATGGAAGAACGTAATCAATCGCACGTAGCATTCTCATCTCAGATCTAAAAATGGAATTAACTTGCTACATACACGTGGGCATGGTTGGATCACTGCGTACCCACCTAATAATAGCCCTTGGCGTAAACGGCGATCCAACAGCCAGTAAAATCTTTGCCGTAACGGCATTTGACAAGCTCTAAATTATAGATTTAAAATATATTATAGAGATTTAAGGCATACGTCGTGGTAATAGTTGTCCTTTGATGCTATTTGAATTGCCGTGACAACGCGAAGCGATAACTGCCGAATGATGTTGCATTGGGTCTTGGTCCACTGTTCAGCTTTTTGCTCTGCCGTCATATCCAACGTGTTAATGAAGAGATGTGCTTCTTGTACATGAACGGACATGTACCTAGAAAGAAAATAAATCATCTAACAAGCATTAAATCGACTAACCGGTCAAATATCAAAGCAGCAACGAAGCGAACATCTGGAGGCATCTTCAAGCGAGCGCAAATCGTAAAAATGTAGTCAATTCCTCGACGATTCAGATAAGACAGATGAGATACTTGATTCGATTGCTTATTGACTAAAAAAATTTGATTTAAGAAAAAAACGAAGCGTCATACCTTTATTGGAGTCTTTCAGAAAAATGAAGAAGTCGTCCAGATATGGACCAGGCATGTCTCCCAACGGGTCGAGAAAGTTGCGGGCAAACGTTGGCTAAATCACATTGCATGAAACAGTCAAAATGAAACTTTTACCGATTTGTCTCCATCCATTTTGGTCCTCCAATTCCTGTGAGGAGCTAAAAAGTTTTTTTTCAAAAAAGATTGGGGAAATTCTTGGTGCTAGGGGGATCGAGAGCAACGTTTTCAATTGAAAAATGACTACCTATCCAGAAATAGAAAATTGATTTCAAGAAAATCTTTTGAATACTCCAAACAGACGTTTGGCACAGAGTGGTCCACTCAATTCTCTTAGCAACAAGTCCTCCCTTTGTCAAAAAGCAACACAAGAAGAAGCACTGTATAAGAGAGGGAATAATTTGTGAAACAAAATGAAGAAACATGCGAAGGCGACTCTATATAAACAACAATTCCGCAAAAACACTCCTTACGAATCGTCTTTTGAGATTTGCATAATATCGGAAAAGACAAATATAACCAACTTTTGCAAAGTGCTAAATTTACACGCAGTCGGGGAAGCTGGTTAAAACAGCGCCGGCCAAAATAATGCGTTTGCGGTGAAGTTTATTTGTCTTTCTTATTTTCATTGGATGTAGAAAAAAATTAGCTATCTGCTGATTTTTTTGGAGCCTTTTAGAACAAATCTGGGATGAGAAAATGCCAAAAAACGAAAAAGGGCTCAAAAAGAGGCTAACTGAACTTTTCTCGACATCGATTCTGTTTTAAGTGATCTTAAAGTATGCAAAATGTAGATAATTTTATTCTGCATCCAATAAGAATAAGAAACACAGAAACTTAACCGCTGAAGGACTATTTTTTCTCTGGTGCTGTTTTGATCAGCTACCGCAGTCGGAACTGCTTGGTTCACATATTTTCTTGTTTTGTTGTGACGCTTCCGTTAATGAGTTGATTAGATGAATTGCGACTTGGTCCCAATTTTCGCGTATTCGAAGAAATGGGTGTTCAAGGAAAACTATCAGGTTTGATAATATTAAAGTTTAATGTTAAAATTAATTGTTTAGCCAACAACCGTTTACCAGGGAATGCCAGTCAACATTGAGCTTACGCATCGCCGACAAGCAATTGATTACATCTACAAATTGCAAGAAATTCTCAGCAAATATGGTCAGTTGATGTAAGTCTTTCGTTTTATTAGCCTCACACTATTTTATTTTTAGTCCAAACGTAAATGTACTGATATCAGCCGTTTACTTGCAGCGATTCTACTATGTTCACTCATTTTATAGTGTTGATGCTAAGGTACGTTTTTTTTATTGTAATGTCCATATTGTAATCTCTTTTTAGCAACTCGCCGCTGCTTCACTTTTTCTTGCTTGCAAAACGAATGATCCGTGTGTTCCAATTGGAAAATTAGCTCGAGCTTATTGGGAGCTAAATTTTCCAAATACTCCAGGGCTTCCAACTTCGGTAGGTGATCATTTGACGTAGCAAGTGTTTATTGCAAATTTTAGAAGTTGGATGATGTAACGCAGATAATTGTGGAACTGGAGAAAGCGCTGCTCCTAACACTAGGTACCTTTTTACGATGTACTTTAAAACTGAAAAGTTTTAGGCTTTGACATTCATGTTGACTTGCCGCATCCAGTTGTCTTGAAAATGTTTATGGAACTCTCGTGGACTAGTTTGCTCCCAGTGTTGCATTAACTTTTCTGGTTTAGATGTTAAGGATCTTAAAAGGCTGAGCTATCAATTCGCCACTGATGTGTGGGTTTTGATCTCGGTTTTCCATTATTAAACATTTTCTTTAGAATTTGTCAAACGGATTTGATTCTTCGCTACACAAAAGAAGAAATCGCCGTTGCTTGCATTTTTTCAATCTCGTCATGGATGAATTTCAAAGTGGGTAACATACAATATGAACTTATTTTAAGCTCAATCTGAGAAAAGTTTGTATAATTTAGATTCCTGTCAACGAATGGTGGAAGCAGTTTGTTCCAATGCTAGAGGAAGATGTGCTAATTGGTAATTATCTGCTTAATACGTTTAAAGTTTCATTTAGAAATTGCAAACAATTTTTACGAGCTTTGCGCCACGAAATGCAAGTATAAGCTGAAAATTCTCAAACACGAGTGCTTTATAAATCTGGGCTATTAATAGGATTGTTTAGTTTTCTCTGTATGCGCAAACTTCCTACCAGAACAGTGATGGTTCCATTGAAAAGCCAGACTCACAATGACAAGCGAGCCCTGTTCAACCAGACACAGTAAGTTCTTTGTTTTGTGTAAAAACAGGAAATCTTTCTCGAGCAGCTCGCTGCTGGGTGGTTGCTACGTTTCTTCTGAAGTAATCGCGGATGATGAAAAGGTATTTATCAACTATGGATTTGTGTACCTATTTAACTTGACGACTCTAGATAAATTTAAAAGAATACTTTAGACCTCAGAATCAAATTCGGACACTGATGATTTGACAAGCAGTGCACAAGCTCCTCCACTGAGTCCGTCTGATGGTGGTTTTGTCAGGTTGGTAATTTTGCACTTTAACATAGAAAACTTTGATTCGTTTCAAATGAAAGCTTTTTAGTGCTTCGAGTGACGATGACGATGGAATTGTAGTCAAGAAGCCACGCCTTTAGTGAACTGCATTCAAGTTGCTTTCATATCAAGTAATATTGCGTCTTTATTTTAATTTTTAATGTCTGTTTTAATGCTGTTAAGGTTTTAGTTTTAAGAATGCTAATTTCTAAATTTATGTTGAAATGTTGCACTTGTGTTTCACTAGGTATTTGCTGTTTCTTTGTTAGTTAATTATAAATGTTGTTGGTTTTCGTTGATAGAGAAATTAAAAATCGATAGAAAAGCAGGAAAGTTAGAGAAAATCAGGCACGATTAAGCAGTAAGCTGTGAATTTTTGATCAATCCCTTTATTTAATTTCAGCAATTCTTGTTGGCGAAACAGCAATTGCAGTGTTTTCCCGAGACGAGCATGTCGTTGATTAGTGGCTGAAATTTTGAATGTGATGGCCATTACTAACAAGACGATCGGTACTTTTTTTCTACATCTCTTCTTTCAAATTACCGTACCCCATTGAATTGTTTCTCTTCTTTGACAGCCAAACAACATTGATGACAATCACTGATTGGTTTCTCTTTTGTTCCATCACAAATCTCTTTCACTCTAGTGGAAACCGTCTTAAAATCGGTGAGCGATTGGGTGACACAAGCTGGAATTTGGGGATGCTTTTACCTTGAATTGAACTGGAATTGTTTTCTAAAATGCATCAAAATAGATGCTAGTGAGTAAATAAATTCCAAAAAAGTAAAAATTTCAAATGCTTTCTAGTTGATGTGAAAATGGAAAAATGGGAAAAATTCAAGTTACAGTACTCACTCTGCATCATGCACCCCGGTGGAAGAGCCTGGAAAACACAGATTGTTAGTGATCCTTTATCTTTTTCAGAGCCAAGACATTTGTTAAGATACCATATGCTTAAGAAGATTTTTATATTGTGAATAGTTTTTAGAGTTTTAGACCATTTTCCAAATCAAATCAATACCCAAATCGCCTCGAGGCAAACGACGAAAAAGATGAAAAGTTTAAGCATTTAATTTGGAATTGTAAAATAATATTTTTTGAAAGATTGGAATGGATTTTGAATGGAATTCTGTTTTGTGAGAGCTATGACAAAAAATCTTGAGAATTCGTAGACAAAATATTTTTTCTCAAACTTTGCGATGACGATTTGATGCGAAGTTTTGGAAGAAAAGAGAATTCTTTTTGTTTAATGATTAAGATTAAGTAAATAAATTGATTTTATTTCCAAAATCAACCAGAAAGCACTTTCGGTCTGAATTTGGTGTGGAGTAGGCAAGCTGGAAATGAAAAGTTTTTGAAAACTAATTTTAGGCTACAGTAACCTTGGCTATCGTTTCTTATTAACCATTTAACCATCTTATTAACCATTAGAAACGAAATAAATAGTTTTCATGTTTCTTTCGACTTTCACTTGTTCACAACACCGTTTACAATTGGAGTCATTTGGAGTAGCTGGGGAATCACACGGTGAACTGCTTTTCCGAATGATAGCTGAAAATTTAAGAGCTTTAAATGAGTTTTTTTCATGAAAAGCAATAGACTAAAATATTTAATTCTCAGATAAGAGCTATCGGGCCAAACTTCAATCCAAGCCTTTCAATCATTCGTCTCCTAAAACATGTCCTTTTTTAAAAAAAACTACCATAAGCTTCTAATTTTATCGAATCTAATTCAAATGGACCTCGATTGACAGCTCCATGGCTTGCCTTGAGATCTAAAAGATAAATGATTATGATTAGAAAAGATTTGAGATGAAGAAATGTGAAGTTAGACTATAAATTGAAATATTCGGAGTTGAAATGCGAGAGAATGACGAAACTTGGGAGGACGGATTTGTTGAAGCCGAATTTATTCCTCCAACAACAATGATTATCGCGGCGAAAAAATAAACTACTCCTACGTTCTCTACGCCGCGTTCAGTGTGTTAGAAAGGGACGACAAGTTTTAAATAAAAGCCCAATAGTGAAAATGATCTTGGATCTTGGAAAGTGAGTTCCTGAAAATCATAAAGCTTGCCAACATTTTCTTTGACCCTGTCTATATACGCCTCTAAATCATCCGTCTTATTGGGCTTGTTGAAGCATAATTGAGCGTCATCCAAACTCGACTTGACGAGCGAAAATGGTGTTTTGTATGTTGCAATTGGTGCAATTTTTCCGTCAGTTTCCCGTCAAGAAGTTGCTTCTCTTCATAATATCACTCCTGATATTTTTCTTGAATTCCAAAATTCTCATGTGGTTTTCATAATTCTCGAGCGGAAGCCTAATTTAGTACTATCTTTCTATCTCGATTTGAATAAGTGACCATTTACGAGACATTTTCACTATTGAGCTTTATTTTTTTATTTAAATCATTTTATTTAAAAGTTGTCGTCCCTTTCTAACACACTGAACGCGGCGTAGAGAACGTAGGAGTAGTTTATTTTTTCGCCGCGATAATCATTGTTGTTGGAGGAATAAATTCGGCTTCAACAAATCCGTCCTCCCAAGTTTCGTCATCCTCTCGCATTTCAACTCCGAATATTTCAATTTATAGTCTAACTTCACATTTCTTCATCTCAAATCTTTTCTAATCATAATCATTTATCTTCTAGATCTCAAGGCAAGCCAGAGCTGTCAATCGAGGTCCGTTTGAAAGGTCACGAAGAGAATACGATTCGAATCACTGGATTCAATATTGATGCCGAGGTTTGTTTTTAATTCATTTAATTTTTAAACGCCTTTATTTAGGCAGAAATCGAGAAGTTGAAGGAAAAATCGATTCAGAATTCAAAATTCTGATTTTGGAGTCGATTCCAAGAATCTACAGTTTTTCTTCACTGGTGTTGAACTTGGTTTTCTTGGTACTTTGAAGGAGGCTAAAATAACAGGAAAGCACGATTGTGGTGGTAAGTTGAATTTTTTTGCATTTTGAACTGTCTAGGCAATGTTTTCAACTAAGTTTTATAGCTAGGATGTGTCAAAATTTATAACAAATCAAATTCGTGTCACTATTTTTGCGTTATTCGGCCATGGTTTTCGACATCACTCTGTTAGATCTTTTACATTTGTGGCTAGGATGAAATTTTAAGTTATATTTTAGTTAACATTTAGACCTTGGCCTCAGTTTTTAATTGAAAACATAACTTTAAAACATATATATTTTTTTAAATAAGCGGAAGTTCACTTCATTCATAACCAATTTGACTCTCTTTGGATTATCTATATAGCGTCTCGCGAAATTACCAACTTTGAGTAGGGTTTTTATTATGCATTAAAAAATACTTATATTTTAGAACGATACAAGAGATCGAAGTGAGTCAGCCAGACGACTTGGCTAAGTACAAAGAAGCCGTCGTTCAAATGCTCGCCGTCTACTCCGTCTTGGATCTTGGCGATCATCATGATGACAATCTGATATTTACAACGCCTCATCGCTCCTAAATTCAAAATTTCGTTTTTACATTATTATTTCTTTATTATACATATGCTTTATTCAGGGGCAAATAAAAGGAAGTCAAAGAATGATGGATGCACATAATATATTGACATAATAGAAAACCCAAAAAGCACGGTAAAACTACAAATAGAAAACACAAATTCAAAAAGATTTTAATTGGTTATGAATGAAGTGAACTTCCGCTTCGATTCCGAGTGCATGTAAAAATTTTTAGACGAACAACTCCTTCAAATCGGGGCCTTGGCGGGTAGCAAATAAAATTTTCGATTGAAGTATTTGACGAAGAGGAATTGAGCTGTGCTTCTAGAATAAATACAGTAATATATGCTAGTCTTGTTACTAAATGTATAGAGGAAAATCTAAACCGCCCTCTAATACAAAATATAGCATAGCTAAGAAAACTTACGACGAATGTTATCCCGGGCACCAACTTCGTGATGTGTTTTGATGAAATATTTGATCGTTTCTCCTTTCCTTGTGAGAAGACAGATGATTTTGTTGCGGCTGCCAACAGGATGCTCCGCAAAATTGATGGTTGCTTCGCTGCCGAAGATTCTTTCAAAATAAATTTTTGCCGAACCTAAACAAAGAATCTCCGTACTTTCTTATTTGCTTTCTCCAAAAACTCACTTGAATTTGCTCCGGAAATTGATCTAAGTAGGTTGCAACCTTTTTCTGCAACCAAATTAGGCTTCCGCTCGAGAATTATGAAAAACACATGAGGATTTTGGAATTCAAGAAAAATATCAGGAGTGATATTATGAAGAGAAGCAACTTCTTGACGGGAAACTGACGGAAAAATTGCTTCTTTGTACTTAGCCAAGTCATCTGGCTGACTCACTTCGATCTCTTGTATCGTTCTAAAATATAAGCATTTTTTAATGCATAATAAAAACCCTACTCAAAGTTGGTAATTTCGCGAGACGCTATATAGATAATCCAAAGAGAGTCAAATTGGTTATTTTAGCCTCCTTCAAAGTACCAAGAAAACCAAGTTCAACACCATTGAAGAAAAACTGTAGATTCTTGGAATCGACTAGAGAAATAGAACTGATTTTTTCCTTCAACCTCTCCATTTTTGCCTAAATAAAGGTGTTTAAAGATTAAATGAATTAAAAACAAACCTCGGCATCAATATTGAATCCAGTGATTCGAATCGTATTCTCTTCGTGACCTTTCAAACGGACCTCGATTGACAGCTCCATGGCTTGCCTTGAGATCTAAAAGATAAATGATTATGATTAGAAAAGATTTGAGATGAAGAAATGTGAAGTTAGACTATAAATTGAAATATTCGGAGTTGAAATGCGAGAGAATGACGAAACTTGGGAGGACGGATTTGTTGAAGCCGAATTTATTCAAAAAAAAAATTCAACTTACCACCACAATCGTGCTTTCCTCTGTTATTTTAGCCTCATTCAAAGTACCAAGAAAACCAAGTTCAACGCCAGTGAAGAAAAACTGTAGATTCTTGGAATCGACTCCAAAATCAGAATTTTGAATTCTGAATCGATTTTTCCTTCAACTTCTCGATTTCTGCCTAAATAAAGGCGTTTAAAAATTAAATGAATTAAAAACCTTTTTTTGCTGGAAAAGGCCATAGAGCTTCAAACATATTTTCACATAGGGCAATCGTACTACGCAACTTAACGCTTTTTAGCAGTTTTTGCCTTTTAGCCCAAATTTGACGTGTCAGCGAGGTCTAATTTGTCGAAATTCGAGATCTTCGCATACGATTCCCCTATCTGAAAACACTTTTGAAGCTCTACGGCCTTTCCTAAGGCCTTTTCCAGCGAAAAAAGGTGTGCTTTTGTCCCACCACCCAGACTAATGCATTGATTGATTCGTTTTGCTTCAACTTTTGCATTTTGAGTGCTTTTTTGCGACTTTTGAATTACCGTAAATACTGTAATAGTACCCGACCGCCATAATGAGTTGCGGAGTGTTGCGTAGTCTAGCTTTGAACGCGTTTTTCTCGACACTGGTTTATGCTACAATGGGGTTTATGCTATCAAAAAATAGCTGAAATTCAGGGCTATTTTTTTGATACCAAAGACGCATTTTTTGGAAGTACGGGTGCTTTGCAAAAAATGAAATACTAAAAAACCTTTTCGACTACGCGACTGTACGAGGTGGGGTACTATTACAGTATTTACGGTAGGTATCTGCTTATGAGGGAAAAGGGAATCAGGCTTGACTTATTGTTAGTTAGCTTTGCTGTAAGTCTGGCTCTGGCCTGTTCTAGCTTACAAGTCATAGATCTCTAGTTATGAACTTTCGGATCCCTATGACCCGCTGCATAAAGCGTTTTCTAAAATGTGTCAACTTTCGACAAATACCATAATCCTGTCGGTTCTAGCCAATTTATTTGGGTTCTGTGGGAGTTCACAAAGGATAAGGATCAAAAGGATCAAAAGATATAAAAGGAAGATAGCCTCTAGGGCAAGATTACGGTAGTCAAAAAGTTGATTTTAGAAAGCTTTAGCCGAGAGCCTTTTAGCCGAGAGAACTCTATGATAAGATTCTATACCACGCTCCGACTACCGTACCTTGCCAGTTTATTTCATTTTGTTTCCTTTTCATTTTCGAGAAAAGAGTTGCGACTTTCTGGTAACTTTCTCTGCTATCTATCTCTGCTGCTGCTAGTGGCGCACAATTACTCGCACTCAGTTCAAATTCACATTTTGAACTTTGATCTCTAATCAAAATTCATTGTTTTCTAGTAAAAATGAGCTAGATTTTGGAAAGAATAAATAAAAAGGTTCCAATACGGTTCCATGACGGTGCCAACACGGTTCCATGACGGTTCCAATACGGTTCCAATACGGTTCCAATACGGTTCCTATTTTGATCTAATACGGTTCCAATACGGTTCCTAATACGGTTCCTAAATAAAGCTGCTTTTCTTTGATTTTGAGCCATTGAAACTAGTTACAAAAACCAGAAAATCATGATTCCACCGCAGGAAACGCGTGTCGCCACTTTACAGCACTCTAGCAAAAGTTTAGAAACTTTTCTGATCAAATCCAGAAAACACATTGCAGGAGAAATATTCAAATTGATAATAAAAAAAAGAATTTGGTCGATTGATTGACTCTTCGCTAAGCTAGAGAATCTAAACTGAATGCGGGTAATTGTGCGCCACCCTGTATTTGGTGTTCTGTTAACCTTTTCTTCGTTTATTCGTCTCCTATAAAGTTTCTACTAATCATATGCAGGGAATCATATGCAATTAATACAATTGGAATTGTAAACAGCCATGGGCTGTTTGTGAAGAGGGTTTTGTGCTGTCAGAGGTGATGTCTGAAGCGGTGGAACCATGTTGTAGACATGGGCACTATAAACTATAAAAATGACAAACTGCCAGCTACAAACGCTTTGAACTTACTTCAAATCTGCCGGATTGACATGGTCTATAGCTCAAAAGATAGAGAATCTCAAGAGCTTTCGAATGAACTAAAAGTACGCCTAAAAGAGCAATCCTAAAGTAAGTTACAGTGGTTTGCAGTCGACCGGACCTTACTCGCGCCTAGTTGAAGCGATCAAGGACTACAAACCACTGTAACTTTCTTTAGCATTGATATTTTTCGGTGTGCTTTGGTCCATTCGAAAGCTCTTGAAATTCTCTATCTTTTGAGCTATAGATCATGTCAATCAGTACGGGAAAACCGCGTTAAACTCTATATTCCAACACCTACACTGGCTATAAGCCAGGCTAGCAGCCAAGTTTGATTTCTCCCGGGAAACCGTTTTTTTAAACATCACCAATTTTAAACAGCTAACAATAAGCTTGGATCTTTGAGATCAGTTTCATTATGCACAAATTTTACCCCGCATTCTCGAATCAGCTGTAAAAATAGAGTCTATCGGAATTCTCATGAAGCCAAACGTAAATGGGAAAGGCTCAGGGAGGGGCGGGGTCTTTTTTGATGATGGGAGGGGATAGCCAGGGTAGAATATTCTCCTTTTTCCTCAAACATTTCCCCAAAAGCTTATCGTCGTGAATATTTTCAGCATTTCCATGTTTAGGATGTACACTCGATCATTTCAACTTTTTTGTTTATCTTTTGAATGAATCCATTTCTGAATCCATTTCTCGAGGATTACATTTTTGCGATCACTGTTTTTGACATCCAATTTCCCAGAGGTTTCTTCAGGGAGAAATTCTGAATAATAGAAAACTAAAAACATTTGACAAACGTTTATTAGAAAACATTGATTCTAGCTTTTAAGAATATTTAGTTTAACGAATTTACAGCTTATAGAGATCAGCTTATTATTTAAGTGGATTGGTTTTTCACCTGCACAATATCTCTTTAGATGTTCTTTGTAGAGTGTGTTCCTCGCGAGTAATGCGTTTTTTAAAACGCACACTTGGGAAAAAATTACCGTACTTTTAGCAAAATTATTGCAAAAAATGACGCAAAAATTATTGCAAAAAAAATGACGAGCCCCGCATTATATACGACACTTTTAAAGATACTCAGCCGTTTAACTGATTTGGTGGGAAATTCCCCTTCCAATGTAAAAAATGATTTTTTTCTTTGAAAAACCTGGGGAGTGGGACAAATGCGACCTTTTTTTGCGCACCTGGACATTTGCGCACCTTTTTTTTGCTGGAAAAGGCCTTAGGAAAGGTCGTAGAGCTTCAAAAATGTTTTCATAGATGGGAATCGTATGCGTAGATTCAGAATTTTGACAAATCAGACCTCGCTGACACGGCAAATTCGGGCTAAAAGGCAAAAACTGCGGAAAAGCGTTAAGTTGCGTAGTTTTTGCCTTTTATTCTAAGGAACATTTATTCATTCTTCAACTCGAATAAAGATATTTAGCTTTTAATATTGGTTTTTAGGTATTGATTAGACTTTGGATTTGATTTAAAAATAAGAAATTATGAGATCTTAAGTAAAGGAATCAATTTTTAGATACTCTGGAGTTCCGAATTTCAAAAATCAGACTAGATTGAGCCTATAAACTCTATCAAGTTTAGTTAGCTGTATTTGAAACTAAAGCTTTTAAAACTAAAGCTTTTCACTAAAGCTTATAAGCCTAATAATAAAGATATTTTCTTCTCAAATTTAGTTACCTTTCTTGAAAAGATGATGTAAAAGACTAAATTTAAAATCTAAATACGTTTTGACAAGGGCTGGGTTGAGAAAATGCTGATTTTGACCAAAAATAGTCCCTTAGACTGTAGATTTTAGATTAAAATTTGCGTGTTTAGTTTAAATTTGCGTGTTTCCCATTACTTGTTCTTTCTTGGGGATTTCTTTTTTAAGGTGAAATCTTAAGCTTGAATGAGTCCTTGCCCTTCCTTTCCCCCTTTTCCCTTCCTTCCCCATTCTTTTCCCATTCAATTCTCAAGCCGAACACATCACAGCAATTTCTTCTATTTTTTCTTCTATTTTGTCGTTTTTCTCTTTTTACGAAACGAATTATCTTCTTCTTTTCCCTCTTTTCCCCCATTTTTTTTCCTCTTCTCTCAATCCATTTCCGCTTTCTTTCAAACATATGGCCGACTGGCTTTTTAAACGTCCGGAAAATATCATAAAACAAAAAAAACATTGAAAAATTGGAACACTTTATTGATTGTTTGGAATTTTCTTTTAAATAAAAGCCAGGTCAATGCTTGAATTGGGTTTAACAATTTGGTTCAAGCTTAGGCTTTATTTGAGCCTGAAAGCTTAGGCTTTATTTGAGCCTGAAAGCTTAGGCTTTATTTGAGCCTGAAAGCTCAGGCTCTATTTGAGCCTGAGCACCTGGCCAATGGCCCGACTCTAAGCTTGGGTTTAGTTTAAACTGGCACAAGTGTATAACAATGCTACCCAAGCCAGATTCTAGAGTCGGGTCTAACTGATTCCAGTCAGACCCTAGAGTCGGGTCTAACTGATCTGGCTGACAAAGCTAGGCTTGTGCCTGGCTTTGTCCTGATCTAGCTCTAAAATAAGGCCAGGTCAGGCCAGTGTGCCAGGCCTTAGCCGAACCAGGATCCTCCCTACACTCACTCAAAGTTCCATGCCAAGCCAGGGCCTGGGTTTACCAATGCATTTAGCAAGTTTGGATTTAGCTAAATTCTTCTCAGAGAATGTTTAGGATCTCCGAAAAGCCTAATAATAAGGATATTTTCTTCTGGAGCTCCGAAAAACACTTATAGCTCTGCTCTGAATAAAGATCTATCTATAAAGATATAAAAAACTAATCACAGATTCGAACTCCAACATTTCTGGCTACAAAATGAGCCGAAATTTAGCCAATTTTGAGCACATGAACATTAAGGAAGAACATGAGGCTGTGGTGGCATCAGAAATTCTGTCTACAAGAAAGAAATCAATTTTGGTAGATTTAGCATTTAGAATTTAGGATTTAGCAATGCTGAATTATTAAATGCTAAATAAAATTGCTAAATGCTAATCTGTTCAGCAAAATTACTAGATGATAAATGGAAAGTGCTATATGGGAAATGCTATATGGTAAATGATAAATAGTTTAGTGAACCCAGGCCGAATTCAGGTCTAATGTGGTCGTGATTTGACCTGATTTGACCTAGCCATGACTTTTGACTTCTGGAATAGTCCTGACTATGAACCAGACATTTCTAGTCAACTGAATGTTATGTCAAAGTTGTCATTGATTGTTTATTGTTTTTCGACTTCATTCAATACTTCGATTCATCCACCAATTCCACTTGCAGCAGCCATCCAATTCCTCCCCTCTTCACTTCACTTCCCTTTTCACGCGTGCTCCACATTTCTGTGTGGATTTCGCGTGTTCATCCATTCAAACTGCTGTCTTTTCTCCAGAAAACGGGGCCTCTCGTTGCCCTTTTTTCCACCCAAATGATCGTCACATATCTCGCCAAAATTGTCCTCCTTTTACCCGATCTTTCGACAACCGAAGCAAATAAGGTGAATAGAGAAAAGGGAAAAGGGAAAAGGGAAAAGGGTTGGGTTTAAAACAAAAGTCAATTAAAAATTAAAGACTTTTCTGATTCCAGAACTGAACTGAATGGAAATTTTAATACAAAATGAATACTGATAAGCTAGAAAGTCATTTTGAAGCTTTTATAGACCAAAATAAGACTTTTGATCTAAGCTGTAGCTTCAAGGCCAATCAATATTGGAAATGATTCTGAATTTCTGGCTTTTCAGTTAAAATAAGAGTTCTGTTAAGAGTTCAACATTGAATCTGTTTGAATTTTTAAAAAACTATTTGCTTTAGCTCCACGAGATTGCCGATCTGAACGCTGAAGATCATGGGGTTTTTCTGGGAAGAGAACATACGCCAAAAAAGTGAGTTGAAAAGGGAAAACTCATCTGTTTTAGTCAGAGAATAAAATAATAAGAGAACATAATATAAAAAAAGATTATTTAATACTTAGATTTTTCATTTTCCAGACCCGAGATTCCACGTTTTCCATCGACAAAACCGGCAGCTCCACACATTTGGCCATACCAGTCAATGCCAATCACTTTACCGCCAATTCCCGGCAGAGCACAAGTCAGATTTTTATTAACTATTGCTATAGATCTATAGGTCTATAGCAATATGACCGATCTCTAGTCTTATCAAAGATCTTCTGACCGATCTGTAGTCTATAGATCTTAAAGATTAACTGAAGATCAATATTAGAAATAATTAACTGAAGATTAGATAATTATTCACCTGAATCTGGTGACTTTACTGCTATATCGACAAAAAGTTATCCTGTTTCTGGCTTCTGACCAATCTCTAGTCTTGTCAAAGATCTTCTGATCGATCTCTAGTCTTGCCAGCGATCTTCTGACCGATCTGTAGTCTTGCCAAAGATCTTCTGATCAATCTCTAGTCTTGTCGGTGATCTTCTGATCAATCTCTAGTCTTGTCAAAGATCTTCTGATCAATCTCTAGTCTTGTCGGTGATCTTCTGATCAATCTCTAGTCTTGTCAAAGATCTTCTGATCAATCTCTAGTCTTGTCAAAGATCTTCTGATCAATCTCTAGTCTTGTCAAAGATCTTCTGATCGATCTCTAGTCTTGTCAGCGATCTTCTGACCGATCTTCTGATCTCTTTGAGCCTAGTTGAAGATAAATCTAGAGCAATTATTCAAAAATCAAATGTTCCCACAAATCTCTAAGCGCTATCTTTATCTCCAGACTTTTAAGCAGCTTTCAATTCGTTTTTCAGCGCCGAAAACCGCACCCAAACGAGCCATGTCGAGCGATCAATGAAACAACAAGGAAAGAATTGTTGCATGTGAGTTAAATCTTATTTAGCACATTATTTTACATATTCTTTTACAATAACAGCTTTTGTTCTCTCATCTTCTTCTCTTTCTTTCATGTTTTACGCAAAATTGCTCGGTCATTAGGATATGAGCTCTCATTTTTCACTTCTTGGAAAAAGCTTTGACTATTTTTGGATAATGCAAAGTCTAGCTATAAAGAAAATGGATAACAACTTAGAGATTTACTTTAAGCAAATTAAAATCTAGTTATAAAGGTTTATAATTGAATTTATAATAACAGCTTTTGTTCAACTGCATTTTTGGCATTTTTGAAGTGGTTTAGTTACCAAATGATTAACTGATTAAAGCTGAAAACGATCGTTTCCATTTCTAAATCAATGCCTAGTTGTATGTTCTTTTCTTGTGATTTTTTTGTCAACAAACAAAACCTGGCACATCAGAAATAGTAATTGAATTGAGTAATTGAAATGACGCAAAGATTTCACTTAAAAATTTGATTACAGTTAAAAGTTCGATTTTTAGAGTGACTTTTGTCAAAATTTGGTCAATTTTTGGTAATTTTTGGTGATTTTTGGATCGGTTCAATTGCTTAATCTAAACTTTCCAAACCAAAACCTATCTGTGATCACTTTTGGATCGCTTTTGGATCGCTTTTGGATCTGTGATCGCTTTTGGATCGCTTTTGGATCTGTGATCGCTTTTGGATCGCTTTTGGATAGCTTTTGGATCGCTTTTGGATCTGTGATCGCTGACCAAAAGCGATCCAAAACCAAATCTAGTCTAAATGGCTCACAATCATAGAGTCAAGCCATTGGGTAATTGAAATGGTTAAAAAAAAAACAAAATTATAAGCAATGCTATGGGTAATTAGTTACCCAACTACCCAACTTTAGTCACCCAACTTTAGTTAGTTACCCAACTTTCTAAAAGAATTTTTCCTAGGGTTAGTGCAATGGAAATCCCCCTTAATCAACAAATCTCCATGTCCATTTTTCTCAACCCAACAATTTCTCAAGAAAAAGCAAAGAAAAGGCAGAGAAAACTTTCAAAATCCGCTCGTATTTTTGTGTTTTTCTGAAAGAAGTCCATTACTAAACGAATCATGTGCACGAGGGAATTTCAGGCTTTTCTTTTAGAGAAAAAGAGGAGTAGTTTGTCTTCTCCAAAATGGGGATCCCAACTTTTTCAACCTTTTTTTTCTTCCTCTGGGTTCTTTGTGTCCATAGTGAACGATTGAGGCAAAGATATTGGTGGAAATGGATGGGGAAATCGAGATGAAATGGAGATGAACTGGAGATGAAATCGAATTTCGGTTCAAAAGATTTCACTATAACTTTTATGTAACGAAAAGTTACATACATACGCAATGAATTCGAAAACTTATCTTGAAAAGGAGATTCGAAGCTTTCAAATAGCTCCAATCGATTCCCCGACCTTGAAAACCCTTGGATACAAATTTCCGGCTGAATCTCTTCTTTTCTACCATCTACAAAGCAAAAGATCCAAAGGAAAAGGCCTATTTAAATGACTGCCGAGGTTTTCTTTATGCGGTCGCGTAATTGCTTGCCATCTGGCACACGTTCCGAATAGATAGCGGTCTGGAGAAGAGCTTCGAAGAGCCAAAGAGGAAGGTGCGAAGAGCGACGGAGTTGACTGCCGAGGTGTTCTTTGTGCGGTCGCGTAATTGCTTGCCATCTGGCAAACGTCCCGAATAGATAGCGGTTTGGAATCCGTAATCCAAAGACCCAAGGAGGAAGGTGCGAGGAGCGACGGAGCTGCCATTCAAGAGAAAAGAAGGAGTCACAATGCACAATGACAACGTCACAAGCTTTTTATTTGCTATTCTCTACCTATGTCTATTCCTTTTTAGCGGAAATTCCAGGGCCAGATGATGGATCTTTTCTCTTTTCTTTTCCCATCTCTCCTCAAAATGGACCCGTTCCCTTTCCCTCCCTTCCCTGGGTGATTCCACCTGAATGCTCATCATCCTTTCACCCCCAAAAAGCTTTGTCTCATAAAATATGAAATTTGTGGTCTTTGACTTCCGGAATATCGAAAAGGTGATAAAATTATGGCTAGAATTGGATAAATTGAAGTATTCTTTTGCTTTTTTGCAAAGAAGATTCTTTTGCTAAAGAACTTTGCAACTTTGTGCTTTTAAAGGAACTTCTTTTGTTTTTGATCCTTTAGAATTTTTCATTTTTGAACTCTCGGGTTGTTTCGACGCAAGTTCCGTGAGAATATTCTTGAGGAAATGGAGAAATGGAGACAAGGAATTTCCTGGTGTAAAAAAAGATCTGTATAAGTTCTTTAAAATCTTTTTATCTTGTAATCTGGGTTGCTGAACTAGAATTGAATAAAACTATTATTTTAATTGATCAAGACTACGGTATTTTGCGAAAGTAAACCCTTTTTGAAAAACATCACATGATACTGATCTAGAATAAGCATTACAAAACTTTTACGCATTGGGAGTTGTTCTAGACCTGACTTGGGAGTTGTTCTAGACCTGACTTGGGAGTTGTTCTAGACCTGACTTGGGAGTTGTTCTAGACCTGACTTGGAAGTTGTTCTAGACCTGACTTGGGAGTTGTTCTAGACCTGTTCTAGACCCTGTTCAAGACTATAAGCCGAGCCAGAACTCTAGCCAATATGGTAGACTAATCCTGGCCTGGTTTATTAACCTTTTAGCGCTTTAGAAATCCCGTTTAGATCATCATTAAGATCTGGAAGTGTATAATTTTTGCGTATTTTTCAAATCACAAACTTCTTTGCATCACGTAAGAAAATTCGCTTCCTTGCCTGAAAAATTCATGTGTTTATTCAATCTTTTTTTTTGCCTAGAGTATTTTCTAAGAAAAGAAATGGAAACGAGCATTTCCTTAGCAAATTTATTAGAAAAAAAACTGGGTTTTTCATTTGTTAGAAAAATGGGGAAAAGGGATTGAAAGGAAATTGAGATGCGAGTCTTTTTGAAATAGAAATTGAAAGGGAAAACGGGGGGAAAGATATGTCGCTTTTATGACCAATTTCTAGTTGAAAAAGGGATGATTTGAATGGGGAATCTATTTGATTTGAAAAGAAAATGAGTGATGGGAATGGGTTAGTCAAGTTTGGCATTAACATTTGAGAGCATAACAAATTTGGGGGGCAATGAAGGGGTCTCAAATGAAGGCAATGAAGGGGTTGGGTTGGGTTGGGCTCAAATTTGAACTCAAATTTCTAAACACACCTTTCTGGTGCACTGAATTCTTGAGTTTTCCTGTGATATCACATTGTTCCTATGAGAAAAATGTGAAATCTTTGAAGAATTCAATGGAGATTTTTAATTGGAGATTCAATAAGATTGACAACTTGAAAGTTGGTACACTTATTGCACTTTTTAGAAACAACTAGTGAATCAATCTAATCTACAGTTTTTATCAATAAAAAGGTTTATTTTTTGCAACCTAATTAGACTGACTGAAACTCTAGGCATTCGGCGAGCCAAGTTTTCGAGTTTTCGCAAGCAATTTGACATTTTGTTGTGAAAGTAAGGAAAATTTTTCTTATAGCTCGCTTTTACATCTTTAAAACTATGCGATAACAAGTTTTCTGCAATGTATAGAAAAGTTTGGCATCAAAAACGATCTTTAAATTGCAATTTATCATCGTTCATCAGCATCATAAAGCTTAGTTTTCCCATTTCAACAAAGTATTAGATTGACAACTTGAAAGTTGGTACACTTATTGCACTTTTTAGAAATAACTAGTGCATCAATCTACACTTTTTACCAATAAAAAGGTTTATTTATTCTCTAAAACAGACTTTTGACAGATTTAGAAAAGCTTTGGTTTTGTAGGTTTCTAAGGGGCAAGAAGTTGAGAAACCAAAAATGATGAACACTTGATAAAGCGATTTGAGCACTTTCTTCCACATAAACCTATTTTAGCGTTAATAAGAAAGATCGAGCATGAAAAGTTAGGCATATAACCGAATTCTCAGCTCAATTTGTTTAATTCCTTTAGTTATATGTTTGTTTGAAGAATTTTCAGAAAAAAAACTTGAATTTCTGCTCAAATTCGTTTCAAAAGTTGTCCAAATTTGCTTAAACATGTTTCAAATTAGATAATATTGGGTTGGTGGAGACCTTAAATTTGGGAGTCCTTTCGGATTTTTTGGGAGAGTATCTTAAATTTGTCCAATTTTGACGTTTTATAGCTCATCCTAAAGCTGAATTCAAGACGGATCGATTGGTAAAAACCGTTTTGAGATATCTCTTTTCGAAAAGTTTTTACAGCTATTTTAGTAAAGGGCGGCAGAGCCAAAAAATGGCTGTTTTCACGTTTCGTTAGTTTTCCGTGCAGAAACCTAGGCTAAAAACATGTGTTTCGTGATCAGCGTCAAAAATAACCCCTAGACACAAATTTTCAGAATCTTAGCAAAAAAAACAAAAAAACGAAGGAAAATCGCGACAAGCGGCGGAAAGGCTATTGATCTGAGGGTCGCGGGTTCGACTTCCACCGGTGACAATATTTTTCAAAAATTTTTTTTGCTAAGATTCTGAAAATTTGTGTCTAGGGGTTATTTTTGACGCTGATCACGAAACACATGTTTTTAGCCTAGGTTTCTGCACGGAAAACTAACGAAACGTGAAAACAGCCATTTTTTGGCTCTGCGCCCTTTACTAAAATAGCTGTAAAAGCTTTTCGAAAAGAGATATCTCGAAACGGTTTTTACCAATCGATCCGTCTTGAATTCAGCTTTAGGATGAGCTATAAAACGTCAAAATTCGACAAATTGAAGGTACTCTCCCAAAAAATCCGAAAGGACTTTTCCACCAACCCAATATATAACTTTTATTGAAGAAGTTTGATTCAATTGGTTTATTAAATATGTTTTATGGAAAATACGATAAAGTGTATCAACTTTTAAGTTGTCAATCTAATAGTAAGACTTATTATTAGCTTTAAAAAGTTTGACTAATGGTTTTAGTTGTTGCGAAGTCGTCAATCTAATTTTTTATTCATTTTTTAGAGTTCTAGTTAGTTAGAGTCTCAAAAATGAGCCTTTCTTTTTCAATAACCAAACAGTGATCGGATTTAACTCAAAAAAAATGTCTAATTGATTCTCACAAACGTCTCGTTTACTCATTAGTATGAGAATTCATTAGTATGAGAATTTTTCAATACCACGAACCTCTAAAAAACTTCTAAAAATGGCTATGTACTTTGTTTTAGCTTTTTTTTTCTATTTAGAACCTCAGAATCGTTTCTAAAACTTTGTAAAGAGAAAAAGAAACGAAATCCGTTTAGGAATTGAGGGGAATTGGCTTCAGCTGAGGACCCACATGTGGGAAAAAGAGATAAAATAAAAGAAATGAGAAAGAATTTATGGAAAAGAAGGGTTTAGATGCAAATTGGAAACAATTAAATAGGTAAATGAAGGAATACTTTCAAAGATGTAGGGGTAGGCTAATTTCCGCCATTTTATTTGCGCATCAGGGTCATTTGTGCAACTGGGTCCTTTGCGCAACTCGCTATAACTTTCTTCTAAATCATCCAATCTTTATGATATTGGTGTCATTTTGTTCCACTTATTGAGATCTACAAAATAACACCAAAATCATAAAGATTGTGTCACTTAGAAGAAAGTTATGGCGAGTCGCGCAAAGGACCCACTTGCTCAAATGACCCTGTTGCGCAAATAAAATGGCGGAAATTAACCTACTCCAAGATGTATTTATCATTGTTCATTGAGTGTACTTTGTGCTCAAAAATTAACTGAAAACATTTGCTTTCTGGCAAAAGCTTCGTTTTTGGCGTCTTAACTATAAATTTGGATTTATAAATCACTTTTTCAAAGTAACCACTGTCTTTATCTTATAATGACAGGTGCTCTCCGTGCGCGCACACAATCGCTCGCTAGCTGGCGCATGGTCCGGAAGGATACCCGAAGGTTTCCCGTTTCAGCATCGTTTCTGGCTTCTGGCTAACAAGGGAGTGACAGCAGCTCAAAGCTCGGAATCGTTTCTTGACCCAATGCATCCCATAGAATCCATTGTACTGATTCTGAATCTTTCAAAATTGACTGCAAACACCCACGCAATCTGAAGAATCTGGCATACAAAGTTCTCTTAAATTCTCTTCATGGGGCGGCCAGAAAGAGACTTTTCAGCGGCTTCGGTGGTCTAGCGGATAGTGTCTTAGCCTAGTCCTAGCCTACGGAACCCATCCAGTTTTTTGGCTTGGGCTCGAATCCCACTCTAGCTAACTCTTTTTGGAAGATCAATGTGTAGGCTTAAAAACGAAGTTTCCCTCTATTTCATCAGAACGAAGGCAATGAAATGATGATTTGCTCGGCAAAGATGTAAAAGCTTACGACACTCGGAATTCCCAAGCCGTCTCCGATCCAAGTACTAACGACTTCAACTTTTGTAGACGATCCGACTGTGTGTACCCTTCGTATATCTCATTGAAAAAAACGGCATCTGGCCGTTCAGATAGTGCGACAGAGACTTCCGATCCCGGTTTAATTACCCAAATTTGAGGTAAACATTAACTTTAAGACCTTGCAAGTGTTTTAGAAGAATTTTGGACGTTTCCGTAAAGAGAATGCACAAATGAATGTGAAAATTGAAGTGGATTAAACTGCAATTTTATTCGTATGCTACCTTAATAAACAGAACTTGCTTATTGTTAGGAATTTTTTTTGAAAATTCTAATCTTTGCACACTTTTCCCATCATGACTACTTTTTTTTTGTTCTCTTGGCTGAAGAAAGAGCTGAATCCTGAAAAATCGCAAAGTATCCCACAAGATAGGCGATTTCCGTCGATTTATGCCAAAGAGTCCAACCTATTTTCTCGAGAAAAAGAAAAGAACAAGAAAGTAAATGGAAAAAAAGGAAAGAGAATAAGAATAAGAATTGGGGGAAAGATATATTGGAGGATGGATGAAAAGAATGGAAAAGGAGAGGGGAAGGGAAGAAGGGGAAAGGAAGAATGGAGGATAACATAATAACTGGGTACCCCCCTTCCTCACCTAACAACTCAAGGGACCCAACATCTTGAAAATAAGTGTGAGTGTAAGTATTCTCTTGGAAAGAATTGCGTCATTGATTTGAGAGAGTTGAGACTGTTGCTGAAACTAAAAGCTTGAGGGACTTGATCTTGAAAGTTGATTGATTTGATGTGTTAAAAAATGGGCAAAATGAAGGGAGTGGGACTTTTTTTGCGCACCCGGACATTTGCGCACCTTGCCCATTAGCGCACCTTTTTTCGCGTTTTAAAAAAGCTCTAAAAAGCTAATATTAACCAATTTCTATTCTAAAAGTTGTTTTTCTAGGTAATTTGAGCGTGTCGAATCCAAATTTTGACATAACAGAGCGTGTGGAACCAATTTGAAAGACAAAGAGAAAGACAAAACGGCTAGATCAAATTACAGAAAATTGTCGATTTTTCTCTTTGTATAACTCCGTCCGTTTGTTTCCACAAGCTCTGATATGTCAGAATTTCGATTCTACGCCCTAAAATTACCTAGAAAACTAGAAAAACAACTTTTGGAATATAAATTGGGTAATATTAGCTTTTTAGAGCCTTTTTAATCGCGAAAAGAGTGCGCCTAATGGGCAAGGTGCGGAAAAAAAGGTGCGCAAATGTCCGGGTGCGCAAAAAAAAGGTCGCATTTGTCCCACTCCCCAAAAAAGTGTAAAAATTGCTTTAAAGAAGGAACAGTTTTGGCACAAGGAGTGCCACCAATAGCCACTAAAAGTTTTTTTTAAATTTAGCTTGAAATGGGGCCTTTCTTTGAGAAACCCTTTAGAGCCAGATAAAGCTTTTGCAAAGCTTTCGAAACACAAATCATTTTTCAGTTCATTCGATTAGTTCTAATTGGTATAAGTACCTGATACGTTTTGCTTTTATAGCTTGCTTCATCTGTATTTTACTTGTTTTATTCCTTTCATAGTCAGCAAAAATCTTTGTATGCGATTCAATAGCAGGAACTGATTCCATTTTGATCACATAGTGAAACAGGCAGAGGCTGGAACGGTCAGGTGTCACCCAAAACGGGAATCAACTTTTGATTAACTGTTATTTTTTGAAAGTTATCTTAATGATCACTTCCAACCATTAAAAAATCTTTTTTAAGAAATTTTTCAATAAAATTGCCTTTAACATTGGTTTCTAATTAGCTTTCCGTTTGCCCTGACTATTGAAAAGCTTTAATTCTTCATCAATAAATCTAGTTTTTTCATTGATTCAATTTGATTCAATTTTACTTTTTTTTTTCTTGCCTAAATTGTACAGCTAGACAAAAACTACTTTCTACCCTCGCCACCGCTTTCCATCATTTGCGCAAATGTCCGGGTGCGCAAAAAAAAGTCACTCCCCAAAATGAATAGGTTCTCGTTTAAAAAATGCTGATAGTATAAAGATATGGAAAATCAAATGAAAAGCTATTTTCTGATCAATCAATCAAACTTTCATTGTCAATAACGAAAACTATTCCAAATTCCAAGCTAACAACAAAAAGTGATTCAAAATTGGCTAAACTGCTAAACTGCATTTAGGTAAAGTTGTTGTGAATGTTGATACAGTTTAAGAACTTCTACTAACCACCTAAAAGATTTACACTAATAGTAAACCAGTTTCAGTTGCTTGCAAATAACTAGAGTTGTGTTAAAGACAAGACAAACGATGAGATTTAGGCTTTGCCTGCTGTAACATGAGCTCAAAGACCATCAATTTTTCTCATTTCCCAAAATGAATTCATTCATAAAACATTTGATGATGTCCTCGATGATCTTAATGTTCGTTTATGATCAAATCGCGTGTTCCCTTCCATTTTTCATTCCAAAAGCCTCATCTCTTCTCGCATGACCTCAGGAAAAGAATATAACTTTTGACTTTGATGCTTTGAGAAAAATTCGAAGAGTTTATTTGAAGTGTTCTAAATGAGGAAAAAGATTTGGAATTTAGAATTGAGATTAAAGTAAAAAGAAAAGGTAAAAAGATCAGATAGAAAGATCTGATGTAGCCAAGGTTTCATTAGGACTTGATCACTCAATATTCTTTTCCTGAAGTCATGAATATTGAGTCATGAATCTCAGGCTTTTCCATTATCCAAAAACATTCAAGCGAAACGCTTGTTTTGAACACTCTGATTTATTCAGAGTAACTCTCGCCGGAGAACCGACGAATTTAACCCCGGATCCAGTATCACACAAAGGTGAACCGTATCCAAAGGCTCAGATCCAACTACGAGCTTTTAACCGCAGCAATAATGACATTTGAGGGCTGGAATTACCGGAAAAATCCTGAAAGCTTTCTGATTGATTAAAATCTACAATTTCCAAAGTAGAAGTCAATGAAATCAGCCAAAAAAACCAGCTTATTTTCCTCTAAAGCTTCGGTTCTATATTTTAAAACCAATTTATTCTTTTTGAGAGTTTGCAAACTGGCTATTCTCTGTTTACAATGTTTTGACAAAAGCTGAAATTCTATTGAAAACGTATTTGTGTTTTGTTTCCCAGTCCAAAAGTTTATCTTTCAAATCTTTCGAAATCCTTTTTGCTCAAAGTCTATTCTCTTCTTTTTTTTTTTCCTTTTTCTTCGTTCTTTAACCACCTAATAGACGTGGATTCTATTTTCTGAAAAAATCCGTTTTCTCTTTGTGGTGTTCGATGCTTTGTTGTCAAAATCAGAGGAAATTTTTGGAAAAATCCTGTGATTGAACACGAATGGCTGAAAAAAATGGCTGAAAAAAAAGAAAAACTGAAATTAAGGGTTTAAAGTCAGTGGATTTAAACAAAAAAGAATGGATTTAGGATCTTTTCAACGAGGAAACTTACGACAAGAACAATTTGCCGTCAGCAAACTCGACTGAGGTATAGAGAAGAGTTAAAAGCTGAAAGTTAGAGTTAGATTTGAATACTAACTAGAAGTTACTGAATCTAGAAATCACTCAATCTAGAAGTCACTCAATCACTCAATCGAGTCACTCAATTTCTAGTCGTCATTCAATTCTACGAATTCTTTATCCAATGTATCTTTTGTCTTATGGGACAAAACAAGTTTCTGAAAATTTCAACGCAAATTTCAAATCAAACATTTTCTTTTTTTGAATAAAGGATTTAGGTAGTAGTCGAGTTGACAGTGCAATCGATCACCGAAATCAGCGAATTCTCCAGCAGTTTCAAAGTAAGCTTCGAAAAATGAAAATAAAACAATTATCGAATGTTTCAAAGCTATTCTTTTGAGTCAAAGCTTATAGTTAAAGCGAAATTTGACAGCTTATAGTTAAAGCTAGGCCAAAAGAAGTCAAATTCTGGTCTTGTCTAGTCCGGTTTCAAGACTTGGCTCACTGGGCTGAAGCCTCACTGGGTTTCAAGACTTGGCTCACTGGGCTGAAGCCTCACTGGGTTTCAAGACTTGGCTCACTGGGCTGAAGCCTCACTGGGTTTCAAGACTTGGCTCACTGGGCTGAAGCCTCACTGGGTTTCAAGACTTGGCTCACTGGGCTCGCTGGGCTGAAGCCAGGCATCTCTGTCGGTGCGCATTACTCTTCCGTGTCCAGTAAACCATTTCAAATGTTTTATAGTTAGTTTGGCTTAGAATTTCCTGTAGCTATGCAAAATGCTTTAAAATTTTTAAAAAACCAAAAGTGCTGACGCGGGCAGGAGTCGAACCCGGGTCGTGTGAGCTAGAGACAAGTGCTCGCACGCACGACAGCTAGAGACGATCATAGGTTTACCTCTCACCATCAATTCTTTTGCTTTTTGATCCTTTTATTGCTGCTGTGCAGCAGCGATGCTTCTGGTATTTTAAATAGTATTTCTAATTGATTATAATTATAATTGATGTCAGAAGACAAGGAAAAACCCTTTTAGGTTTAATTTTTTGAAAAACCGCTAGCAAGTGGTCATAATTTTACGATTTTTGATGGGATTTCATCTGAAAAAGTCGCTGAAAATTGTTTTGGTCATAAAATTACGTCGAGCAGTGTACTCGAATCGATTTGAACATCATTGCTTCCAAATCTGATCCCAAATTTTCAGGCTGACGTTTGGTTTTCCCAAATTTGGCGCGATCCTCGTTTGGATTTCACGGATCGAAACTATTGTCTGAAGAATTTTTCACTCGCCTCACACAAATTGCCTCAGCTTTGGTCACCGAATGTCTGCTTTGTGAATAGTAAAAAGGTGAGAAAGGAATTTGAGTGGTTTGAATCGATCTCCTGTTTGCAAGAGATCTAAAGACCTATCTATAAAGATCTATCTCTAAAGATCTATCTATAAAGATCTATCTATCTATAATTTCCAGGTTGAAATCCATTCATCTCCATCTCAGAATATCCTCCTTTTGATCTTCCCGAATGGGACAGTTTGGTTGAATTTTCGTGTTTCTCTCCAAGGACCATGCAAGCTCGATTTGACGTTTGTTTTCGAAAAAAAAATCCTTTTCAAATGTTTTTCTTCACTCTTTATTTTATAATTAGAATACTCTTTTAAATCTTTCAAAAAAAGAGAGTGAGTTGAGATTTTTCAGAGAGATTTCTTGACCAGAGTTGAATAAGAAATTCAACTCAAAAGAGGGGATTTAAAAAAAAGATTTAGATACTTTCCAATGGATCGACAAACGTGCAATTTGATATTTGAGGTAAGAATTGAACAATGTTTGATGGATTTTGTTACGCTTTATTACTAAATAAAGTATAAATTAATGTTTAATTGAAAACTAAAGTTAAATTAGGCATAACTTTAAATAGGAAAGAAATAGAAAAGAAATAGGAAAGGAATAGGAAGGGAATAGAAAAGGAATAGGAATAGGAATAGAAAAGGAATAGAAAAGGAATAGGAAAGAAATAGAAAAGGAAAAGAGGAATTTGAAAATCTTACAGCTTTCCATGGGGTTTATTTGATTTGATCTATTAATATTTTGATTTACTTGATCGCTAGAGTCATTACAACTATTAGATTGTCCGGAAATAAATGAGCGTTTTGTATTGTTTATTATTTGGGTACATTTTTCTCAATAAAGTATGCTCTGTAACTTGTAATTTTATATACCATTAGAAAGCTGAGTTCGTGCTCTCTTTAACCATACTTTTAAATTTTGTTGCTATCGGCATAAATAAACTTGTTTCTCGTTGGCAAAAATGTGTTAATTGTAATCGTTCTTATTTCGATTAATAAAGTTTTGTTTGGATTAAGTTATGGGAGTTTAAATATTCGAGTTGAAAACGCTCATTGATTTTCGGACAACCTAATAGAATTTGTTTTGTTTTAAGCCCAAGGTTTAAAGCCTTGGATCCAAGTTACCTTTTTGAGTGTACAGCGTGTTCAATATTTATTGGAACCAATAGATCACTAGATTTATAGATCACTAGATTTATATCACTAGCGGCTCGTTTTGTACAAATCGAAGGCTCAAAAAGAAAAAAAACCTATCAAACACATAGATTTTAACAAGTTTAAGCCACTTTTTAAAAAAAATGATTGCTTTTTGCGTTGATGTTTGTTTAGAAACTTTTGTCGAAAGTGAAACATTCATTTTGTCACAAATCGAGTTAATTTTTCAAATTGAAATATAATTCAAACTGAAAAACTGAAATATAATTCCAATACTTTTTGATGTCCCGTAGGTTCAAAAACTGTTAAATAGTGAATTTCTTATTATAAAACAAGAATAACTATTGGGTTGGGGAGAATGAGTCGGCGCCGAAAATCAAAGAAATTTCTAAAACTTATAGCAGACTTTGTCAAATGATATGCGTTTGATATCCGTAGAAGGGTAACTAATTCTCTACAAAATAATATTTAAAAGAGAACTCAAACAGCGCCTCAACTCAACAAAAGGCCATTTTTACACAAAATCTATAAACTGTGACCTAGCGAAAACGGTTGGAGGGATCTTACTGTAAATTTGGCAACTTATGCAATTGAGTATACTCTATCTTTTTTATGTAGACACCAAAGAAGGTTTATGTGGAAGAAACTGTTCAAACGAGAAGTCGGACACTTTGCCATTTTGACTAGCTGTGTTTGGGAGTCCATAAACTCCACGAAAGAAAAGCTTTATGGAATCTCTCAAAAGTCATTTTTGTAGAGAAATAGTGGACCTTTTTGATGAAACAAAACGTGTATTTAAAGAAGGTTTTATGGGTGCAAAAAGTTTCTTTAAATTTCGGCGCCGACTCATTCTCCCCAACCCAATAGATCTGATTCCTTTAGGTGAAATTTAGTGATCGAATTTTAAGGATTGCTTTTTCAATCGCTTTTTTGCATAACAAATTGAATAAACAGTAAAACTAAATGAGCATTTCATGTTTGTCCTAACTCTAATTAATGATTTCTCTTAATAATTCTTAATGATCTTTTCATAAACCGATTTGAAAGCACTAAACAACCTTGAAACTCAAAAATTCCCATAAATATTGAACACTCTGTACTTTTTGCTCATTGAAATACACTCTATTTAACATAGATTCTTTGTTTTCTTGATAGAATGCAATTTCTTGATAGAGTGCTCTTGAGTGCAATAGAATAGGTGTGTTTTTACATTGTTGGGCACAAAGAATGCAGTCGAAATATTGCTGTATCCAGAAAACTTGTCCAGCTTTTAGCAAACAACTACTCATTTCCAGAGTTACTCGTACAATACAGCCGAAGTGCGGATAGTTTGGCGAGACTGGGAAGCTGTTTCGATTCCAGATCCGAACAGCAAAAATCTTCCGGATTTCGAGTTGATCAGTTTCAGGTGGGTTTAAGCTAAAGTCTAGAGAATCAAAAAGCAAATGTACATACAAATGTACAAGTCGTTCACAAAAGTAATGCCATCTAAAAGTATGTTTCGTCAGAAAATCTTGCAAAACTGACCGCGTGAAATAAATTGATTTTTGTCTCATCGGTAAATAATACTTTCGCCCGATCACGTGTTGCTCAACTTCGGTAGGTCGGTGCAAAGTCTAGGCGCTACTTCCGGTGCTTAGAGTTCATCAGAGGTTTACGGACAGCCCTTCTTGCATATAATCCAGCTTGAATTAATTGTCGTCTGATCGTTTCCGGGGAAACAATCTTGCTAAATCCCCATCATTTGGCTTGATGATGGTTGATGTTTTGTTCGGATCGTTTTTCACCATTCTGATGCTCGATCTTTTTTTGTAGTTGAAAACGTCCCATTTTGCCGGGCCTTGGCAATTTTGAGCTTCTTCGGAGTGTCAAGATCTAACAGCCATCTAAATAATAAAATAGAATACACTTAATATTTACACTTCATATAGAACGCAAAAATAAAAAGAATAATCAGGGAATCAATGGGACATTTGTGGAGCTACTTTTAAGAGTAAGTGCACTCTTCCAGATCGATCTTTTGATTGGAAAGAACTCAATCAAAAATCTAGACATTGAAAAACTAGAATACTTAAAGTATTTTAAAAGGAAAGAGATTCATCATGTTTTGAACAGAATTTTTGCGAAATCTACTTTTTGATGACAATGGGGGTAGGCTAATTTCCGCAATTTTTTTTTTGCACAACTTGCCATAACTTTCTTCTAAGTCGACCAATCTTTATGATTTTGGTTTCATTTTGTTGCACTTATTGAGATCTACAAAATGAAACCAAAATCATAAAGATTGTTCGACTTAAAAGGAAGTTATGACGAGTTGCGCAAAAGACCTAGTTGCGCGAAAAATTTGACGCAAAAGTTTGGTATTTTAGGTTAAAATCACTTTAATCGCTACCGTGAGTTTCTATGGGTGAAACGGGGTAGGCTAATTTCCGCCATTTTATTTGCGCAACAGGGTCATTTGCGCAACTGGGTTGTTGGCGCAACTCGCCATAACTTTCTTCTAAGTGACACAATCTTTATGATTTTGGTTTCATTTTGTAGATCTCAATAAGTGCAACAAAATGAAACCAAATTCATAAAGATTGGTCGACTTAGAAAAAAAAGTTATGGCGAGTTGCGCAAATGACCCTGTTGCGCAAAAAGCCTAGTTGCGCAAATGGCCCTGTTGCGCAAATAAAATGGCGGAAATTAGCCTACCCCATAAAACTTTTAAAAAATCGTATTCTCCGCCTCTCTTTACCCTAAAAACACAAAAAACGGACAGAAAAAGTTAAAAACAGTAAAAACAAAGCAAAAGCAAAAATCTAGAAAATAAATTTTTTTTGCTTGTCGCTGTTTTGGGATGAACCCTTTTGATGAGGATGTCTTTACTGTTTTTAACTTTTTCTGTCCGTTTTTTGTGTTTTTAGGGTAAAGAGAGGCGGAGAATACGATTTTTTAAAGTTTTATGGGGGTAGGCTAATTTCCGCCATTTTATTTGCGCAACAGGGTCATTTGCTCAACTGGATCATTTGCGCAACTCGCCATAACTTTCTTCTAAGTCGACCAATCTTTATGAATTTGGTTTCATTTTTTTGCATTTATTGAGATCTACAAAATGAAACCAAAATCATAAAGATTGTTCGACTTAAAAGGAAGTTATGACGAGTTGCGCAAAAGACCTAGTTGCGCAAAAAAAGTTGCGGAAACTAGCCTAACCCACAATGGGGCATTACTTTTTGCGGACCACTATATCAAATCTATTTTATTTTAAAAAGATATTCAGTCATTTAAATCAAACCCTCGTCTACACAGCCGGTTTATGGGATCAACTTGAAGTTGTATTCGAATTTCGGCGACTGTATGGATACTATGTGTTACAGGTAGGAATTGTAAAATATTAATAAAAGATAATAGAATAAATATAACATAGAAATAAACATAGTAAGATAATAAAAATAAATAAATATTAGAATTTCAAAGCAAACCCAATATAAAGTTATGTTTTCTATTAGGTTGATGCAAAAGTCTTTTTCATTTGTTTCGTACTTCTGTTAAAAAGTAACAAATTCACGAATTAATCTATAGTTTGCTCTATAAAAAAAGTGTTTTTTTGTTCAATTTGCATCTTTTTAAATGAATTTCGGTTCACTTTCAAGCAAATTCGAGAGTGAAAAACGCCTTTTTCGTAAAAATCTATAAAAAACTCTACGGAAAAATTGGCTGAATGAATTTCTCTGAAATTTTGGCGAAATATCAAACGTTTTTTTTCTCTATCTTTTATCTATTGACACGAAGATAGGTTTTCTTTAGCTAAGGTGTCTAAACCGCATCATCGAGTTAGCCCTTTTTGACTACCCGACTTCATACTCTCAAGAAAATCCAGGCATTAAATATTTTTAAACCCGTTTTAATGTTATTTTGCAGAAAAATAATTGCTTTTTCTAATGAAATCAACCGTAGTTTAATTCGTGCATTTGTTGGCTTCAAACGGCAGACGAAAAAAATGAAAAAGACTTTTGCATCAACCTAATATATTTCTTTAGGCTTATATGCCCACATATCTCTCGGTTTTCATCTCGTGGATCGCCTTTTGGATTGATACAAAAGGTTTTCTACTTTTTTTTTGTAAACGCAAATCTTCTAATGCACTGAATAAACCATTTTCCGAGAACCAAATCGTTTTATCTCTTTTTTTTCAGCTCTTCCAGCTCGTATCACTCTCGGTGTGAGTTCTTTGATGGCATTGACGTTTCAATTCGGTAACATTGTCAAGAATTTGCCTAGAGTCAGCTATGTAAAAGTGAGTTGTAAAAATAAAATCTCTATTCTTTTTTTCCTTTAGGCTTTGGACATTTGGATGTTCGGGTGTGTGGGCTTCATTTTTCTTTCATTGGTTGAGGTATGTTTGAAAAAAAACTCAGACTCAAGTAGCTCTAAAGATCTCCCAGCTATCGTAGATCTTCATACTGTAAGTTTTTGATGTTACGATACTCTTTGCGATCAAGAGAAGACAATTTAGGTTAAGATTACTGTACAATTGGTTGCTGTACTGCCTTTTGGTTACTGTACTACTGGGATTACTGTAATACCTAGGTTACTGTAATACTTGGGCTACTTGAAATACTGTACTTGAAACTTGAACTACTTGAACTATTGACTAACTGAGATTGCTAGTACAAGGATTGCTGTAACAGCGAATACTTGGGGTAACGGAATATTTAGGGTTACTGTACTACTTGGGTTGGTGTACTACTTGGGTAAGTGTATAATACTGGATTACTGTAGGGGTTACGGTAGCCGAGTCACATTTTAAAGCTCTATTGCAGTCCGAAAAAGCAAGAAGTCAAGTTGAGTTGCTGTAAAATGATTAATTGGGGTACGGTAGCCAAGCCATGCTTTAAAGATACGCAAAAGTTCGGACAAAAACTTGGATACTTTCTATAAAACGAATGAAGTTTTAAATTTTTCCCCAAACTTATGAAACTAATGAAAAAATGTTCGTAGATTCGAAAAATCTAAATGAAAAAACTGTAAACTCTTTTGGTTTCTGGGAAAATGATCTTTTTGTAGAGAGAGGAACACGATATAGATGCCCTGTAAGACTACAATCAAATCCTCTTTTCCAGCTAGCAGTTGTCGGCTTTGCGGACAAGGTCGACGCGAAACGTCGTCGACATCAAAGGCAGAAAGTGGGTCAAGCGAGGAGAATGCTTCTCAGCTCAACGGGAATGGTGGGAGGGATGAGTATAGGGGCAAATCATCCATATGCATATCCAAGTGTTCCCTATTCTCCTCTCCCACATTCACACATCATTCAGCAAAACTCGGTTCGGCTTTGCATGACAAACTATCCTTTTTTCTGGGGGTGAAATTTAAGGTACAGGACAGACTTGGGTGTTCTTTGAACTCTCGAAAACGCGTCCTTTCTGATGCACTTGATTTTCATAAAAGCAACTCGTTTATCTAGGCATTCACTGTGCTAGGAAGTGTGCGTTTTCAAGAGTTCAAAGTAGTCCAAAGGGCCCGTTTGTTGCGTAAATGTAAGCGCACACTTTCTGGCACACTGAATGCTCACTTTTCTTTAATAAGGGCATGCCAAAACAGAATTCAGTACACCAGAAGGTATGCGTTTTCAAGAGTACAAAGTATTTAGCCTTTTCTGTACCTTAAAAATCATCCCTTTTCTGCTATCGCTAAGTTTTTTGTTTGTAAATTCAATCTTTTAGCAAGGATTTCTATTTAGGAACAATTGATAATGAGATCTGATAGTGAACAACAATGGTTATCAAGGCTGAGTGGACATCGACCAAGTCAAATGATGTGCACAGATCCGAGAGATCAAAAGAACAATAGAACGGGTGAGTGAATGTACTCAACTTTAACAACTTTACTTTACTTTAGTCGATCTAGTTCTCTTCTAAGAGTTTCCTTTGCTTTTACAAGTGAAATTTCAGAAGAACAAGAATGCCCGAGTGGTTTACCATTGTTAAATAATGAAGAAAATGGACATACGAGACATCCAGGGAGTCAAGAAGGAACACCGGGTGGGACACAGGGTGAGTAGAATCAAAGGGGAAAGGGGAGAGGGGAAACACTGTACTGTGGAAGTCGAGGCCTGACCTGACCTAGACCCGACCCAGACCAGGCCTGGATCAGTCAGCCAAAAGCAGAATCGGACCTAGCTTTGGCCTGTGCTGGCTTACAGACCCTAGAGCTCTGGTGCTCATTAGTCCTGACCATCAGATCGTTAGTACCAGATCATATCAAACATTTGCTAACGTTTTGAGCTTACAAGGGAATAATCTGAGCTTAAAGTTCGGAATCAACTAGAAACAAAGTGCATAACAAAGAATGGGCAATGGCGAACAAAACACCACAAAAATTAACCGCTAATAGCCACGGAAACGCAAGAAATCTGGCATGCAAAATCGGGATTCAAAACTGGTTCCTTTATAAGGCTTCTCTCGCTGCTGAGCCTTTGGTCTAGTGAATAAAGGCTTAGCTCTGCGAAATGACTGTCCCATTCTTCCCTTCGGGTTCTATTCCGCCCACATGCAATAATTTTTGTTTCTTTGCGATTCTTGAAACCATTTCGTTTTTAAAGTAAACTAAATTTTAATAAAATCAAATAAATTTAACATTTTTGCCTATGAAATGCTCTGCAATACAAGTTTTTAATTGGGAAAACGAAAAAATATATTAAAGTTACTTTCAATCACCCAAAAACAATTTGGAGTAGATTAATTTCAGAAATTTTGTCAGTTTTCTTGGCATTCCAGTGGTTGCAAACCCAGGCAAAAAAAAACAAAAGATTTTGGGCGAAATTGAACCTGATCGGAAGAATGGGACAGTCATTTCACAGAGCTAAACTTTTCTCCACTAGGCCACGAGCTCACCTTTGGATCAGAAGCGAGAGAAGCCTTATAAAGGAATCATTTTTGAATTCCTTCGCTCATTTAAAACTTTCATTTGCTACTCAAGGAAATCGCCCCTAGAAAAGCTGTGTTGAAAACTTGAAATTTAAACTTGAAATTTTTATTTACAACTATGTACACTTCTAAAAGTTAATTTTAATCTTTGAAAAAATTTGAGGTGGTCTTCCACGGGGTATTCGAATGAGCAAACTATTGCTCCATCAAGAAGCGCCCGCTCATGTCAATGGAGAGAAGATTGATGAGGTTTGGCAAATTGAATTCCACTTTAAAAAGATATTCAGTTAACTAACTGCAAACTTTTTCTTTTAGCATAAACATAAATTTAATGGAGAGCTGGTTGATGAGGTGAGTGGAGAGAGAAAAAGAAAGAGTACTGTAAGGCGGGTAAAGGAAAGATGGGAAAGTCAAATGATCTTCAGTTAATTGATAGATTTACAATTAAAACATACTCAGCTAAAAATCAGCTGAAGAGCTTCAGCTAAAGATTAGCTAAAGATATTCAGCTAAAGATCTTCAGCTAAAGATTAGCTAAAGATCGGCTAAAGATCTTCAGCTAAAGATATTCAGCTAAAGATATTCAGCTAAAGATCAGCTGGAGAGCTTCAGCTAAAGATCTTCAGCTAAAGATCAGCTAAAGTTCTTCAGCTAAAGATCTTCAGCTAAAGATCTTCAGCTAAAGATCAGCTAAAGATCTTCACCTAAAGATCTTCAGCTAAAGAATTCTAATAGTTTAAAGATATCAAAAATGCGATCCTTTCCTCTTTTTCGATCGATTCCCTTCACTGATTTGTCTCAAAATGAGCTTGATGTGGCACTGTAAACTTATATGCAAATTCGAAATCGTTAACCTATTTCTACAAATTTCTTTCAGATCTCCGCTAAACTCTTCCCTCTTCTCTTCACCGCTTTCAACATTTTCTATTGGTTTTACTATATCGGGATGTCAGGCGGGGTTTTTGGATCGGAATAAGGGGGAAATCAAGCTCCTTCTTTTATCAAATTCTCTTTAATTCATCATTTTTATACGGGTTATCCACATAAAAATTGATCTCTCCAAATTTTTTCATCTCTTTTTCATCATCTTCCATATCAAAAATGTTCTCAAATTTGAATATTCAATAAAATTTTATTTTGAAAGATCAACAAAGCAACAGATTTCTCTCAAATAACAAAAAGATCAAAAAACGGAAAGCAACAGGTCAATTCAAAACTAAGGATTGGTAAGGATTGGTTCAAAAATAGGCCAAAACATTTTTACGAAAGAGGAATCAAAATTTTGCGTGATCTTTTTGGAAAATAATGGAGTGGATGAATATAAAATGAATTGTGGATGAATATAAAATGGCGGCGTCTTCGAACGAAACGGAAAAACACAAAAGAAGAGCTTTCAATTCGAAGGTATTCTCCATTAGTATCTTTTGCAAAAAACTAAACCATCCTTTTTTCTCAACTCTTTTCTGATACTCTTTTTCTCAACTCTTTCATCCCGATCTGACTCAGAGCTTTCGAGAGGCTTTATGAGAATAAATGCGATGAAGATGCTTACCGAAATAAGGCTCAAATCAATAACGATTCGAGTTCTACGATGCTATTAGGTTGGCAGCTTAATAATGACGCGTTTATGTAACAAATCATTTATTTCCAAAAGACACAAAAGAAGAGCTTTCAATTCGAAAGGTATTAGTATCTATGACATCTTCCATTAGTATCTATGACATCTTCCATTAGTATCTATGACATCTTCCATTAGTATCTATAACTTCTTCCATTAGCATCTATCACTTCTTTCATTAGTATCTATGACTTCCATTAGCATCTATGACTTCTTCCATTAGTATCTATCACTTCTTTCATTAGTATCTATCACTTCTTTCCAACTCCTGCGCAATACGCCAAAATTTCATCCCGATCTGATGCACAGTTTTTTCACTTTCGAGGGGCTTTATGAGAATAAATGCGATGGAGATTTTTTTCAGATACAACAACTTTACTAAAAGCTTAGTAAAGTTGTTGGTGAATGAGGTTCGAGTTATCAATATATTGATTTAGAGTTTAGTTCATATATAAAATTCTTTAGATCAATTAGAATTGGGTGAAACTCGTTTATTAGAAGTCAATTATTGCGTTTTATCAAAAGAAGACGCTTTTGGAAATGAATTTCTAGAATTGCATATGGATTTTATCAGATTTATTTACGTCATATCGATCAGAAACATGAAATTGAAAAAGATTTTGAAAATTCTTTATAGACTTGTTGCTTTCTAACTCTTTAACGTCAATTTGGTGGATGGTAGGCATCTAACTAAAAGGTTCTAACTAAAAGTTAACTACAAACTTCAAACCCTTTCCCTTAGCAGTAGGCTTGACAAAAAGGTATCAAAGTTGAAGATATAAGCTTGAAAACCGAGCTTAACTAAAGCCAAACGAAATCAACAAAAAGGTTCGTACCCGTATTAACTTTTTAAACGCTTTGGACTAGAAAAGAAAGCATTTATTTGATTTGAAATACTAGAACGAGCTTCGGGCTGAGATCAGTTTAGGTTATTTTTATTTATCGAGTTTTGTGGTTTGATTTTGAACAACTCAAGTCAATCCTCACTTCTATTATCTGATTGCTAATCGATTCTAAAACGGGCTTTATTCAAAAGCTACATAGATAATCATGAGCAAGTCTTTCTTTTCTTTCTTCAAAAAGTTTACTTTGCATAGCTCTACTCCTGAAAGTGTCACCAATTCAGGAACCTCGTCGTTGACCATTACCTGGCTTGGAATTCGTCTAATTGATGGGAAATGGCAGTGGTCGATTAACGGTGAAATGGTCGAGGTTGTTTAGAATCTCCCTGACTCAACAAACCCTTTCTTTTCAGGCATCTTTCACTAATTGGGATAACAATGTGATGCCAAATGACCCGGAAAAGGTTTGAGGATGAAAAGTTTTGATTAAATAAAAGGAATAGACTCTCAAGCCTTGCCAGCCTCGTTTTTATCCTTTTAGACATGTGCCGTTTTTGATGGATGGGCGAATGGAGTGTGGAGAGCCGTCGATTGCAACCAACAATATCGTTCGATTTGCAAAACGGGTACGAACCTTTTTGTTGATTCATTTGGCTTTAGTTAAGCTCGGTTTTTAAGCTGATGACTTCAACTTTGATACCTTTTTGTCAAGCCTACTGCTAAGGGAAAGGGTTTGAAGTTTGTAGTTAACTTTTAGTTAGAACCTGTCAATAGTGAATTGTCAATTCCAAGAGCTTTCAGATGCCTACCATCCACCAAATTGACGTTAAAGAGTTAGAAAGCAACAAGTCTATAAAGAATTTTCAAAATCTTTTTCGATTTCATGTTTCTGACCGATATGACGTAAATAAATCTGATAAAATCTACATCCAATTTCGGAAATTCATTTGCGAAAGCGTCTTCTTTCGATAAAACGCAATAATTGACTTCTAATAAACGAGTTTCACCCAATTCTAATTGATCTAAAGAATTTTATATATGAACTAAACTCTAAACCACGTAAATCAATATATTGATAACTCCAATATCATTCACCAACAACTTTACCAAGTTTTTATTTAATCTCTGGCAGCTGGGCTATGGCCGAAACGAAAAAAATGGTGAGAAAATGATCGAAGTTGATCAATCACGAAACTTTCCCCTTTGAATATGCTTTAGAAAGTTCTCATTTGTCTTTGAATCTTTTTCTTTCGTTCTCGAAAACGTATCTAAATGGAAATTATCGAAAAATTTTGAGCGAATTTCTTCGAAGTTCAGTGGTTCCCCTTAATGGTTCAGTTCTTCAAAGTGAGCATCAAATTTAGTGGGGAATGCAATTTTTACATGCAATTATTTTCAATTTTTCTTTCTAAAAAACTGACGATCAAAGATCGCAAGCGTAAAGACGAAAAAAAAAGACATTTATTATCATTTGGGATCTCTTGAAATTCATCCAGGACATCCGCTAAAGTAAAAGAAGCGGATATAAATTGATATCACAGACGGAAAAAAGCGTCATTTCAGAGCTCTCAAGTCTCCTTATCGGGAAATTCTTTTTAGCACAAATTTTTCTGAGAAATTAGTTCAGATGTTTGGTTTTTGGGGAGAATCATTACATTAAAAACATTGGTTGTATTGACAAATAAATCTTGACTCTTCTCAAAAAGTAAAACAATTTTTTGGGACTTATTTGTAAAGAAATCTACAAAACATGCAAAGAAAAGCTCACAGGAAAACGAATCTTTTTGCTATTGATTAGCTCAAGTGATAAGAGATGACTTATAACAATGAAAACTCCCACTTTTCTTATTCTAATTGCAATTTTGTATTCTAAGACTGAATCCTTCTGATGCCCAAACGGTTTTTTTGAAAAATATTTTGTTTAAATTTAAATTTGGGCGAAAGGGAAGCAGCAAAGAAAAAAGACTGAATGGCGTCATTGTTATGATCCTTTGATCGTAATAACGTATTTAACGTCGTATTTGATGCCAATCGCCAATCCTTGGATTTTTCATCACTTTTCGTACGTTCCTTTTTAACTTTCGCCTTTCGCCCAATCAAAGCATCGTCTCGAAAACCCCTCTTCAACGCTAGCATCTAAAAAGTTTGAGGTATAAGTTTACTCTCAAACAAACGCTCATATCACCAGTACTTTTGCTTCTGCTTGCTTAAGTATCAAATTAAAGTAGAGAAGATGGGTGATTTTTTGAGATATTACCCAAGTTTGAGGTTTGAATTTGATGTGGTCCAAGTCCAGGTCCAAGATTATTACAATCCTTTGATCGTAATAATAACGCGAATCGCCAATCCTTGGATTTCTCATCACTTTTTGTGCGTTCCTTTTAAACTTTCGCCTTTCGCCCAATCAAAGCATCGTATCGAAAACCCCTCTTCAACGCTAGCATTTAAAAAGTTTGAGGTATAAGTCTACTCTCAAGCAAACGCTCATATCACCAATACTTTTGCTTCTACCCGCTTAAGTATCAAATTAAAGTAGAGAAGATGGGTGATTTTTTGAGCTATCACCCAAGTTTGACGTTTGAATTTGATGTGGTCCAAGTCTCGCCACCCGCTTCATTCTCTGCCATTGATGTGGTCCAAGTCTCGCCATCCGCTTCATTCTCTGCCCATTGCAAAGAAATCCACATCAGTTTTTCAATCCTGATGTGTCATTATCTAAGAAGTTGGGAGAAGAATATCGTCTCGTCATAAGATTTCACCGAAAGTCTTGAAAGTTTGCACTTACAAATACGAGCCTCTAGGATTTTGAAAAAAACTTATCCTTTTCTTTCTAGCAACATACAGATTAGCACGCAATTACGTAATTACACCGTATTTTAGAAATAACTCCTCGCTGAATTGTCCATCGACAAAATGACAACAAGTTTATCTAAAATTGACGCAATTTTTGTACGGTAAATCCTTTGGGTTTTTCAATGATTTCATTTTCCGTTTTTCTATAGATCTTGAAAATTGGTTGGAATTCAGATTCACGATTTCTAACAAGGTACAGGGTAGCACGTAATTCAGCGCAGATTCACGTGCTCAGGCGACAAAAAGTGTCATGTTTTGCAAAAAGTTTACATCAGATCAATATTTTTATTTAATCGATTAATCGAAAGTTGTTTTTTTCTGTTTTAATCTGAAATACACTGACCTGGTTGCGAGAAGAGTTTTAGAATGTGAAGCACAAGAAAGAGAAAACAGATCCAACACTTCTATATTCATCTTTTCAATGGTGATAGTGATCGGACTTTTCTAGAATCCCACCAAAGTGATGCTACTCGAAACTTGCTAGTGAAACGCAATGCTAGTGCTAGTGCTAGTGCTAGTCTAAACTGCAATAGTGACCGGAACCCTTGAAATGTTAACCACGTTTCACCATGTTCAATGTTTTTCTAGTTACTGATTATTTGGAACAGACAAAATCTTGGCTTAGACTAAAAACCGAAGATGTACAGTTAAAGCATTTCAACATTCTAACTGAATTGAATCGTTATAATCAAAAACCGAGCGTTGTCGCCGATCAAAAACGATCGCCGAACAATCTCTCCAAGTTTTTCATTATCTAACAACCCCATTTTCTTTTGTATTTTTTTGTAAGACTTGAGATTAACCATTCTTAAGAATTCAAATTCTGTATTTTGAAAAAGTTAAATTTTTGTCACTCAAATTCATAAAATAAAAGTTGTCAAAAAATGTGCTTTACAAAATCTTAAAAAGCAGGCATTCTTTGCATCTTATAAGTTGTCGATTATTGACAAAATCAGCTAAGAAAGAGAAAGAAAGAAACAAGAAAAGCAATTCCATATTTTACATTTCACACACTTTAAGCTCAAGCTCAAAAGTTTTTTGATAAAAAGCCAAAGCAAAAAAAGAGACTTTTCACATAGATTAAACCTAAGCGTTATCTTAATAAAATCTAATAAAATAGAAGCAAAGGAAATTCGTGCCTTTCCCTAGTTAGAATATCAAAAATTAGTCGAGAAATATCCCGCGCACATTCCTCTCGTTTTCGTGACTATTAGCGGCTAATTTCTGTGGCGTTTTGTTCGCCATTGCCGATTCTATTTTATGCACTCAAATTCATAAAATAAAAGTTGTCAAAAAATGTGCTTTACAGAAACTTAAAAAACAGGCATTCTTTGCATCTTATAAGTTGTCGATTATTGACAAAATCAGCTAAGAAAGAGAAAGAAAGAAACAAGCAAAGTGAAATGACCTTGAGAAGTTGATCAGGCTAGAAAAGTGGTCACCTTTTTTTGACAAAAAATGAGCCTGATAAAGAAAGATTGAGAGTAGAAAAGGTTTTCCCGGAATTGGATCCTTGAAACTCGGCGAAATATACACTTTCTCAGTTAACTTGTCTCTAACTGATCGATCTAGCTAGGCTACCCTTTGATAGATCTGTGCTCACCATTGCCTATTTTTACTTGCTCTTTAAATTCATCTAATTATTTCGGAATTGAAGATTCTTTGAAGATTCAAAAGATACTTTCCAAAAGATGCTAAAAGAAAGTAACAATATTGACTTTGAAAAAGCACTCCTAATTGGAGAAGGTGGTTTCGGAACCGTTTATCATTTCGACAAAGAAAACCCGTGAGTTTAAAAGAGATTAAAAACTGTTATTACTTCTTTAAGAACTTTTCTAAATGAAAGATTAGACTTCGAAAATCTTCATAGTATCTCTGTGAGAGTGGAGAACTTTGATTGACAGTTTTATTTTCTAATCCTTTGCTCAACTATTGGGTTGTCCTGTTATGAATGCGCGTTTTTTACTATTTGGTAAATTTCTCAAGATACCGAAATCAAGAAAAAGATATATATGAGTATTATTCGAAAGCTCTCCTCTACATCTCTGCTGCAGTCGGTCGATGATTATTGTTGAAGCGAGTACACGCAGCCACCGATCGTTGCACATCGATTTGAGCACATTTTGGTGGAGTAAGTTGAACGACCTTTCTCTCAATAACTCCCCTATGGAATCGACGCAAGTCAAAAACGCCTTCTTGATTGTACTCACTCCAAACTTTACTGAATTTTTTTCATTATAAAAAGAATAAAGTTATTTGTTACCATCTTTCGATCATCTCCCATACCACCAAACCCACTGCATAAACGTCGTTTCGATGCGAGAGCTTAATCAAGTTTTATATACCATTCGAAAGCTGAAGATCTCCTCTACATTTTGATATAAAAAGTTTTTGAATTTTTTCAGCTTTTGGGCAAATTGACTGCACAGAAGAAGAGGTGGGCAAAAAATGGAAATGTGCCTTTGGATCAAGTTTTGGCTCCGCTCAAATTGAGTTAACCGTTTGATGTTTGGCCAATAGATATATCAATACAACTTTTTTTGAAATATAACAATTTCAGAGCACCTTTACTTTTCTTTTAATTTCTGGGCGGTTATTTTACACCATAAAACTTGAGGAATAGCTAAGCTGGAATGGGTTTTTTCGATAACGACCTCTCCCTTTGTGCAGTCAATTTCCCAAAAACTGAACAAATTCAAAAACTTTTATATTTCAAAATGTAGAGGAGATCTTCAGCTTTCGAATGATATATAACACTCATATACAGTACTGGAAAATGAAATATAATATTTGCAAAAAAGATCGACTGGTGGCGGTGGTGGAGGAGATCCATCTCTGGTGGCGATTTGCTGGATTCCTGGTGGAGCCGCGGTTTGCACAGGTTGCATGGCAGCCGGCACCGGCGCCTAAAGAGATTCTGATCTTCAGATAAATAGATAGATACAGGTTTTCTCATCTTCAGGTAAATACAGTACTGGAAAATGAAATATCATATTTGAAAAAAAGATCGTCACTTTCACGCGTCTGTAACTCCCTTGTCTTTGAGTTTAAACTATTAGTGTTCTACATTTTCTGAAAGCTCTTTTCAAGGGCTACACAATGGTAATATTAGCATTTAGAAATACGGTAAAGACAAGGGGGTTACAGACGCGCGAAAGTGACGATCTTTTTTCAAATCTGATATTTCATTGTCCAGTAGTGTACATCTGTTCGATATCTTGAGAAATTTACAAAATAGTAAAAACGCGCATTCATAACTGGACAATCCAATAAAAACACAACTAAAGCTCAACTAAAAAACTCAAACTATTTCTTGTTGACTCAGGCTTAAAATTTTATATCAAATAAAAAGGTTTACCATTTCATCTAACCTTGATATCTCTAGCTGATCGACCTGGTTCTGGCTAGGCTACCCTTTGATAGATCTGTGCTGACAGACAGATCTGTGCTGACAGACAGATCTGTGCTGACAGACAGATCTGTGCTGACAGACAGATCTGTGCTGACAGATAGATCTGTGCTGACAGATAGATCTGTGCTGACAGATAGATCTGTGCACGATTGCTGACAGAACAACACTTCAAAATTGCTCTAGTTTGTCTAAAAAACCCTCTAAATTCTTTATTGCCTAATTATTTAAGAAAAATGAAAAGGAAATTTGTATTCAACAATAGTCTGCATAAGTTTCTCATGTTCTTTTCTACAAAAGAAGATTTCCAGATCGTATGTGGTAAAATTGATAAAATGCGACACGAAAGGCTTGAAAAGTTATCAAACCGAATGGGAGATTCTGAAAAAGCTAAAACACGAGCATATTGTAAAACCATTGTGGACAAAAGAGATCATCTTTGATCGCCGTCTGGCTTTTGCTATTGGAATGGAGTATTGTGAGAGGGAATCTTTAGATAAAAGTGAGTTTATCCAAAGAAAACTTCTATAAGTTAAGTAGTAGAAAAGCTCTAGTAATTGTTCTAGTGATTGCTCTAGTAATTGCTCTAGTGATTGCTCTAGTAATTGTTTTTCTAGTCATTCACAACTCCGCTTTCATCTATTCGATGCGAACCGTGACTGTTTGGGCGGAGAACATTTTTGGGGCTCTTGCGTATCTCGTTGAAGAGCACAATATTGTCCATCGTGATATTAAACCAAACAAGTTACTTTTTTCTCTTTATTTATGAAGAAAAGGTTTAGCATTTTGGTCAAAGCAAACTTCTCAGTGAAACTCGGAGATTTCGGCTGTGCAAAAGAAGTCGAAGAGACTTGTGTGGATAGGTCTCTAGCCGGCACTTGCCGCTACATGAGTCCACCAGATGGGCTACCTAAAGTTAATTTTTGTTGTTGTTGTTTCCGCTAAAGTTTGATCTAAAAGAAGAGTTTTGATTTCATTATCTAACAAAGTATCTAACATTATCCATAAGTAAAAGAAATCACTAGCCTTTCTCTTTCTCTAGCCACAAACCAACGATTAGCCGAGCTGAGTTGGTTACCGTCGTCCATTGCTTACCATTAGAACGACATGTCTTGTCATTCTATTTTTTCAATACCCCCTATTCTATTTGATTCTATTCTAATTCTATTTCTAATTCTATTTCTAATTCTATTTGAGCACAAATACAAATTTTAAACTCAAATTAAGAAGTTCAATTTCAAAAAATGGGTTGTCGTTCTAATACAGCATTTACGGTAACCAACGTCGGGCTCGGCTAATCGTTGCTTTGGGATAATTTGGGAGATTTGACGAGTCCACCCTGTACGGCTATTGTTTGGGATCACCAGGGAAAACGGATATTTAAAGGGGAGGAAAGCTCGAGCATTGAGTTCAATGCTTACAAAATCTTATTAAAAAAAAATTATATGACAACTAAGCTAACTGGTAATCAGGTTCAGATCTCCTCGGCTAGTTTGCTTAGAATTATTAGCCCATGTAAAGTTTAAACATTTTAAAGCCTTAAAAAACAACTTAAGAAGCGGTTTTTTTTATTGGTTTGTCCAGTTATGAATGCGTGTTTTTACTATTTTGTAAATTTCTCAAGATATCGAACAGATGTATATGAGTGTTATATATCATTCGAAAGCTGAAGATCTCCTCTACATTTTGATATAAAAGTTTTTGAATTTGTTCAGCTTTTGGGAAATTGACTGCACAAAGGGAGAGGTTGTTTTCGAAAAAAACCCATTCCAGCTTAGCTAGTCCTCAAGTTTTATGGTGTAAAATAACCGCCCAGAAAAGAAAAGGAAAGTAAAGATGCTCTGAAATTGTTATATTTTTCAAAAAAGTTGTATTGATAGCTCTATTTGCCAAATATCAAACGGTTAACTCAATTTGAGCGGAGTCAAAACTTGATCCAAAGGCGCCTTTCCATTTTTTGGCCACCTCTTCTTCTGTGCAGTCAATTTGCCCAAAAGCTGAACAAATTCAAAAACTTTTTATATCAAAATGAGGAGAGGAGATCCTCAGCTTTCGAATAATACTCATATACAGGGTGCGGCAAAAGTTCGGAGCCGCTATAAAAACATTGCAGAAAATTTAGCTCACGCTTTTTTTTGTGTCTGGTATACTTTTTTCCTTTTTTCGAGTATAGTTAAGGTGATTTGTTACAAAAATTTTCTTTTTAGGAGCAAAATTCGTAAGAATGAACGCCAAAAAACGACGCGATGTGATTCTCGGATTATACCAAGGCGGAAAAAAATAGCCCGGAGATTGTAAAAATCACGAAATATCCAAAAAGCACCGTCAACAAAGCAATTAAACGCTACAAGGAGATAAAGAACAACAAGGATCGCCCTCGAAGTGGTCGACCACCAACTGCCGTAACACCTACGAACATCAACGAAATTCGCTTTCGTGTTCGCCAAAACAAGCTGCGGTCGATGCGAAAGATGGGCAAACAGCTAAAAATTAGCCCTCAAAGCGTTGGAATGATTGTTAAAGGGAAACTAAGATTCTTTAGCTACAAATTGGCCAAAGCACACGTCTTGAGCGACAAATCCCAGAAGAAACGAAAGCGTCTAGCAAAGAAGATGGTGCGCTTGGTGGCGACTGGCCTACTTGAGAGGATCCTCTTCACAGATGAAAAGATTTTTTCTATCCAGTCATTGCACAACCGCCAAAATCATAGATAACTTCTCAAAAGGGGTCTGAAGAACACATTTGCGGCAAATTTGATGGTTAGAAAGCATTTTTCAGCTTCGATTATGGTGTGTGGAGGTATGTGTGCTACAAGCAAGACACCGCCGGTTTTTTTGGACAGAAACGCCAAGATGAATGTTAAAAACTGCCAACAACTGGTATTAAAAGATGTCTTGAAACATTTGGCAACAAATCACTTTGGACAAGCTGGTTTTTCCCTGCAACAGGACCGGGCTCCGGCGCATGGTGCTCACTCAACTCTCAACGTTTGCGCTCAGTTGTTTCTAGGCTTTTGGGATAAGACCATTTGGCCTTCAAATTCGCCAGATCTTAATCCCCTCGATTACTCCGTTTGGGCTATTTTGGAAGGCAAGATCTCGATGAAGACGTATCAAACAGTGGATGCTTTAAAATCTGCTCTGAAACGAGTCTGGGATGAAATAACTGTTTAAGCGTGCGCCACCATTGTGAGGAACTTCCCAAAGCGTTTAAAGAGGTGTATCGAAGCGGATGATGGAAATTTCGAGCATTTGTTATAAGTTATTTGTTGTTATGATTCGAATAAAGAATTTGTTATTAATTTTGAACTTTTTAAAGCGAGTTTTTAAACCTTTAACTACCTTAAGAAGCGGCTCCGAACTGCCGCACCCTGTATATCTTTTTTTTGATTTCGGTATCTTGAGAAATTTAAAAAATAGTAAAAAACGCGCATTCATAACTGGACGACCCAATACATTATAGGTATCAAATTTTCGAGTTTTAATTTATAAAAAAACTCATAGAAACAATTTGCATCCATGAATACAGTTTCTTTACTCACTTGTACTTGTGGTGTCCCGGGCATCTTTAATTTTCTTTTCTGGGCGGTTATTTTACACCATAAAACTTGAGGAATAGCTAAGCTGGAATGGGGTTTTTTTTTTTCGAAAACCACCTCTCCCTTTGTGCAGTCAATTTCCCAAAAAGTTAAATGAATTCAAAAACTTTTTATATCAAAATGTAGAGGAGATCTTCAGCTTTCGAATGATATATAACACTCATTTAAAATTTGATTAAGCTCTCGCATCGAAACGACGTTTATGCAGTGGGTTTGGTGGTATGGGAGATGATCGAAAGATGGTAACAAATAACTTTATTCTTTTTATAATCAAAAAATTCAGTAAAGTTTGGAGTGAGTACAATCAAGAAGGCGTTTTTGACTTGGGTCGATTCCATAGGGGAGTTATTGAGAGAAAAGTCGTTCAACTTACTCCACCAAAATGTGCTCAAGTCGATGTGCAACGAGCGGTGGTGGCGTGTACTCGCTTCAACAATAATCATCGACCGACTGCAGCAGAGATGCATCAACGATTTATTTGTTGGAACAAGGTTTGCACAAATTTTTGAATTTGAATTATGCAAGGTTTTCAACAAATTCTTGACTATAAATCAGACATTTTCAAAGCATTTAAAGGCATGAAAGCCCGTTCATCGTCGTGCAAACATTGAAAGAATCCTCAAAAAGCCAGTTTGTTATTGAGTTTTCAGATAAAAGAGGCCCAAAAAATGTCTTTTGTTAAAGTTTTTCTGTCAATCTAGGACCCAGACCGGTTTCTTTTTGAAGACGAGCTGGATCCGGACCGGTAAGGACCGACTTTTTCGGCTAAATGATCTCCGGTTCGAATCGGTCTTGCTGTAAAATCAGCAGGTTCGAAAATCTGAAAGAGCCTGGACCTATCCGAATCGACGTGGCTCTAGAAACTCATGATCTTGCGAAATTTTGTAAGTCTCAAGACTTTGGGCGCAAGCCGGATCCTGGAAGAAATCTTGCGCTCTGCATAGCTGCGCAAGTGGGGTCCCGAAAGAAATCTTGCAAGTTGATAAGTCTCAAGGCAAGTCGTCAGCCAAAATCTTGTGAAATTTATCTTGGAAAGTTTCGCAAGATTTTTTGGATGTCACAAGCCGATCAAATAAGGGACACGAACTTTTCACACAAGAGGGGACCACATAGATCAAAAAAATTGACCATCTCCAAATTTTGCTGAAACTATCCATATGCTGATGATCATAGCGCTGTTATTTTTTTGAAAATTTGCGTGTTTAGCTCAACTTTCAGTAGCTTTATTGAAAATAAGCTTATTTTCAAAATCTAGAGACTTGAATCTGTGTCGTTTTAACACTTTTTGAACAATTTAAGATGTTTTTGAAGGTTTTACTCAAAAAGCCTCCAAATTTTGCTAGAATATTAATAGTATTTATCAGAAAGAGACATTGAAGTAGAGTAAGTAAACCGCTGAAATGTTCATTTGTGTTTTTATCATAGCTATCTGTTTAGAAAGACGCCTTTTGCATGAGTCTCCCCTTTCTCCCGAAAGTCGACATCACGGAAAAACGCTTGATACGACCAATCGGCTTCAATGGACAACGAAATGTAGAGCCGATCGTTAAGGACATAACACCACCTAAGCCTCAGCTGTCTGATTCATCTACAGTAAAACGAATGGCTCCGGTGGCTCCGATTCGAGCAACTGCTCCTCCTTTTGAAGCTTCAACTACACTCGGCCCACCCCCAGCCTATTCAACAATCATTCTGCCAACTCAAACTAAACAAACTAGACAACTTTCCTGTTTTCAAAAATTCGGACGACGCTGCTGTTTGTGTTTGGTTTGGCTGATTGGCATTGGAATCTTCATAGCTTTCTGTATTTTGACGGTGATGTTTTTAAATTCTGATCTGAAAACGATGACTACAACAAGTCGGCCGAACATTGATTACACAGAAGGTTAGCCTTTGAGAACTTTATCTATAGTTTGCTTTAAAATTTAAAAGAACAATCTAAGGCATAACCATTAGTCTCCAGAAATCACAAGGACGTCAAAAAAAGAGAAAAAAACGTACAGCTTTAGAAAAGTTTTATTGACATAACAAGATTTTAATCTTAATTCTTTTAAAGAAAGAACAGAAATAGTTTGGAGATTCTTTGTATGCAGCTTCTGAATTGAATGAAATGATTAGCTAAAGGATTTGAGTCTACTGTTCTATTGGGTTAGTGAATTGAAAACTGCCCGACTTTGAACTAAAATTTATTGAACATAAAACGATCAATTCATTTCAAATAATTTTCATTATTATTGACGACTTCTGCCCATTTTACAGGCAATTTGCGGATTCCTCTTTCGTAGTAGGATTTTGGTTTGTGTGTGAGACAAGTGTGAGACTCAAAAATGGAGGACTGGAGATGTCCCAGTTTGAGCAATTTTTTCGAAAGAAACCCATTTTGGTGTCAATAGAAAAGTTGTAGAGAATCTAAAATTAGGCCTATAGCCAAATTTCCAAAAAGATACACTTAATAGTTTCGCTTAAAATGCAAGTTTTGTTGCAGGCTTTGTGAAAATTCGTAAATTTGATATTTCTTGAAAAACAGTTTTTGAATCGTTCTGAAAATTTGGCGATAAGCTTGATTTTTGATTCTCTACAACTTTTCCATTGACACCAAAATGGGTTTCTTTTAAAAAAAGTGTGAGAACTGGGACATATGACAATAGCCCGCAGTTTTCAATTCACCAATCCAATAATTCTTTTAAAGAAAGAATAGAAATAGTCTGAAGATTCTTTGTATGCAAGTTCTGAATTGAATGAAATGAGTAGCTAAACGATTTGAGCCTACTATTCTACTTTCATGCATGTTAAAGAGATCCTTTGATACAAACTTAAAATCAAATTTTTAGTAACAACAACAACAACAAGAACAACATGGTTTGCACCGACTCGTGACATGTTCACTCCAACAGTCCCGCCACCTTTTCAACGGGTAGAGTGTTGTCCGAATGGTTGCAGAGGGAACTGTTACTCTGAAAATTGCTATAATTTTTGTAATACTTATATTAATTGTTGTTGATTTCTGTTTATAAACCAATCCCAATAACCAACGAATTTTCGTCACTAACAATGATAAATAAAATTGCAAGTGGTTGTTTAAAATGCTCACTTCAATCTTATTAAAAAGCAAACAATTATTGGGTGAATGCATGGTTAATTCAGTAAATTTCTCGATCATTTCAGCTATTTAATCTTTGTTTGTTTAGAATGAAAAGTGATAATCTTAAAGGGGGGTATTAATCGCGGCCTGGTGACCATAAAAATTTTTTTACGGCACCCACCTGTTTTTTTATTTTAATATCGCTGATTTTATTATAAAAAGAATAAAAATCACCCGGCTAGAGTGATTTGATGGGTTTACAAATTTTTGGAGACGCTGCAAGGGTTGGAAAAAAACAAGATCGTCACTCATCAGACACCTCAGACACAGTCTAGATCGACCGAGTTTTAATTGCAGATAAATTTAAAAACAAAATAAAAAGCACAAAAAACAATAAAAATAAGTTGTTAATCTATAATTCTTCCTCTTGCTCACTTTCATCTTCGCTCAAGTACAGCAGTTTCTCAAATCGGCTTCTTATCTTAGTCAATTTCCAGCGCATCATCAGCAGAAATGACTGAATCTCCCCCATCTTCAGCGCTTTGATTGACGCAATTAGATCTTTTTTTCCATTCGATTGTGGTTTTCTTTTGTTTCCTAACATAAGTTTTCTTGGTTTTCGAAAAAACAAGAGTATTTAGAAGACCATAAGCTAGATTAGCTTAATGATCTTTTGCATTATCTAAAAATAAAATCTCCATCTTGAAAAAGGCATCTAGTGATGTTAAAAACCAAAAATGTAGATCGAAAGTCTAAAGGAAACAAAAAGAAAACATAATGCCTGACTTTTGCTTTACTTTCGCACTTACCTTGTAGATGAACTACGCGAGCCTTGCAGCTTCTCCAAAAATTTGTAAACCCATCAAATCACTCTAGCCGGGTGATTTTTATTCTTTTTATAATTAAATCAGCGATATTAAAATAAAAAAACAGGTGGTTGCCGTAAAAAAAATTTTATCGTCACCCGGCCGCGATTAATACCCCCCTTTAAGCTAATAACAGAGGGCAACTTTTTTTGAAATGAAATGATGGAGAAACTTGAGTGAGGACCCAAATTTGGACACAGCCCCGTACAGGTCTGTGAATAAAATTCGTTAAATCAATGGGAAATTCGCACTCCATCTAAGGTCAGTTCAGCAATGGTGTCCAGTGTGCATCAGTGATTCTATTAAACGAAAATCTAAGTCTCGCGAAATATCTTTTCAGCAAGGGCCAAAAAGAGGTTGAATGCGAGGCGAAATTGTATGGAAAAGCTTTTGGTGATGGTGGAAAAAAGGAAAGGGCCACGGTCGCTCTTGTCAAGGAATGGGAAGTGCGTGATTTGATCTTGTTTATCTTTCATTTTAGAAACATTACAATTCTGAAAAATGTTAGTTTTTAGGCGGTTCGGGCGAAAATTTTGAGATGTTGGGCCGGGCTTCTCGCGACGCTCAAGGAAATCCAAGAAATGAAAGACGCATGATCACCATGCGTCTTTCATTTCTTGGATTTCCTTGAGCTCGATCTGACGGAGAATTTCAGATCCGAGATTTGACAGATCGGAGAATTTCATTGTAACCCAATCAAACAGAAAGAAAAATAGTTGGAAAAGATTTCTGGCAAAAATCAATGCTAGAATCGCTAGAATCAATGCTTATGTCCGTTCACATTCTTCTTTTCAGCCTAAGCGGCTCAATACCTAACATTTAAGTTTTTTGGGGTCTATATGGGGTTTTTGAGTTTTCGAGTAACGCGATAGTCTTTTTTTTGATAAAATTTCTTTCACAAACGGTGTTTCTGCTAAATTAACGCAGTTATATGACAAAGATTCATGATGTTTCTAGAGCTCATCTGGCGATAAGTTAAGTCAACGAAAAAAATTGGGTTTTTTTTGAGTATTAGGGCTCACGAATCTTTCCAAAAAGTTCTTTCACAAACGATGCTTGTTCGAAGTCTAAAGCTCATGTCATTTGGCCACCACACCCGGTTGACATTCCCTTGTTAGTCGACTGTTCAAATATGACCCCGGCTCACAAAGAGATTTATAAAAAAGAGGTGAAAAAGGAATCTTTAGCCCATTGTTCTTTGAAATATAAAAGAAGAAAATAAATCCATTCTTTCCCCAATTTTTCTCTGTACAAACAGATTTGTTTTGTAAAAATGCTAAAAGTTCGTCAAATTTACATGTTACCTGTTCAATCTTAGATTTCAGTTATTTTTCGTATTTCATCTTTTACCTATTCTCAGTTATTCACTGAATGGGGATCAGTTTTTGAAAATTCCAAAGCAAACCCCATTTGATGAGAACAAATTCGAGGATTCGTTGCTTTACGCTAAATCGAAATCTTCCAAAGAGTTAACTGGAAATGAACTTTTCCTATTCAAAGCTACAACAACCCAAGAGTTAGTTATCAGTTTTATCTATATTGAAAGAACTAATCCATTTACAAACATGTTGCTTCATCACTTGTAAACAAAAACGTTAAAACATCAATTGCTCTTAAATATCATGCCTAAACCACACAGATCACTGAAAAATACCTTGTTTTAGATCTTTGGTGAACCTGTACGATGCGCATATGTTAGGGATCGGAAATTTAATTGAATTGAATCGAGATCGGAGTAAAGTCGAGAATCTTCAAATTCTTTTGGACGACAAAGAGATCGCTTCTAAAAAGCGTATGTTTATTTCAAAAACTTCTTTTTGTCCATATTGTAGACCTGCTATCGGCTCGGATTCAATCCGAAAAGTCTAACTTTGGATAGGATCAGATCCAGATCTAAAATCCAAACTTATGGATCGGATTGGATCCAATTTGATTCAGATCGGCTCCGATTTGATTTGGATTGGATCCGATTTCATTCGGGTTGGATCCGATTTGATTCCGATTGGATCCGATTTGATTTGGATTGGATCCGATTTCATTCGGGTTGGATCCGATTTGATTCGGATCGGCTCCGATTTGATTTGGATTGGATCCGATTTCATTCGGGTTGGATCCGATTTGATTCGGATCGGATTCAATTCAACCTCAGATCCAAAGTTTCCCATATTTAATCCACGGAAAAAGGTTGAATTCCAGAGATAAAAGCCTTCTTCCCGGACCTACCGGAATGCGAACTAGGGATCGTCGGAGTCTACTTTCCTTCAACAGTTCCCTTACAGAAGGGACAAAATGTAGTTGGATAAAAAAATACCATAGCTATGAATATAGTCAAATTTCAGTTGCATATTGTTGATATGGAAAATAAAGAAGACCAAACCTCAATGATTGAGCTCTCTACGAAGACCGATTTGACCAATTTTGAATACGCAAGGACTCTACTCGAGCCGCTGATCTGGTCAGCATTTAATTCATACTTATGGGGTGTTCCAAAAGTCCTTAGAAACGGAGAGTTTGACTCGAAGAACAAGCTATTTTTGAAAGACTGAAGCCGGATTATGTAAATTCAGGTTTTTTTTACCCCTACTATAGCTTTTTTTTTGCGCAAAAGTTGCAACTCTAAACAACTTTTTGATGGGGTCCATCCGAAAACAGCGCCGATGCAAAACAGTTTTTTCTTTTACAATGTACGGGCATACTGAGGTAAAAATACCTGAATTTTTCGAATCCGGCGTTAGTTTTCCGAAATTCACGTGTTTTTCAAGTCAAAAATTACTGCTAGAAAGAAAAAGTATAAGAACTTTTGGCACACTTTGTAGAACAATATACAAAAAAACATAAATCTGAATGATAGATTCTAAAATTCCAATAGATTAGAGCCAATAGAGCCAATAGATTCTCAAATTCCCCTTGATTTTGTAAGAGTTTTAGTCGAAAATGAAAAAAAAAAGACAGATTTAAATATTCAGTATGAAAAAAGATTTAAATATTCAAAAATAAATTCTAAATTTAGGGCTCAAGATTTTCTACGTCTTGCTTTACTTTTGGAAATGGAGACCCGAAATGAGAATGGATCGATAATCATCCCAATTGTCTCAGCATCAGAAAATGTTATGAAAGTGTTGGATTATTATGGGAAAGAAGTTGCAAATAGCTATGAAACTTTTATGAAAAACGGTTTAGAATAACGTGGCCACATATCCGATTCCGATGCTTCCATTCACCGATAAGTTATGAAAAATAGGCAGACTTTCTAATAATTAGAAAGAATTCATTAAACAGTTTGATAGTCAAAGTCTCAAAGTCTTTCATAGTCTCATTAACGTGATTTGACTGTATCTGACTGTATTTGGCTCCAAATTTTAGATCAACTCGAATAGAAATGCTTCACTTCACAGCAAGACCGCGTTCTTTTCAATGGAATATTTGATTATGATGTTTGAAACGCAGGCGAAAAGGCTTCTTTCATGGGATACATATTTCAAGTTTGAGCAAGAGATTATTAAACATTAAAAGAATGCATTTTAGATCTGAAAAGGTGGCACCAGTGGATACATTCCTTAAAGAGGTGTACAAAAAAAGAATTAGAGGCAAGTTATTAGAGAAAAAAGCGTAAATTTCAAGCGTTTAGATTATTCCCGGTTCACCAGGCTCAACCCAGACTATTTGGGAGAGGTTTTCGAACAAATTCAAAATGCTCATATTTCTCTTTTTTTAGGTAACCGAAGAGAGAATTCTGGTGGAAACTGTAATCGGAAAACTAAGGGAAATCTTCGGATATCTACCGAAGTTTACCGAGGGAAATGACTTGAAAAGTTGTACGAAAAGGTCGGCGGGTACAAGGAAATTAATAAGTAAATGACTTGTCTGTAAGTCCGTAAATAAAGTCTGTATAAAGTATGTACAGGGTGTTCCAAAATTACTGATACCGGATAACTAGCTTGAAAAAACTTTTTTTAGTAGAAAACTGGTGATGGAACTTTTATTTTTAACAAATTAGATAGTAAAGTAATGGAAAAACAACAATTATTGGATATGTCCTCCTTTCGTGTTGATACAGAGCTGAAGGCGCTTCGGGAAGTCGTCGACCGTGGCACGCAAGTAGGGGAGATCCATCACCGAGGTCGGGTGAAGAGAATGCGAAACTGATTTGTGTGGATTAGAAATGCCGTAAATTCGATCGTTTTGCTTGTTCAACACTTGCTGGACCGTAAAAACTTTCTCATCGCTGAAAAGAATCCTTCGGTGAGCTTTTCCAGGAAACCGAGCAAGAAGTTGAGCACAATGCTGTTCTCTCTTAAGTTTTGTAGCATCGGTAATTCCGTGACACTTGTTTTTCTTGAAAGCTTTCATTCCTAAGCGTTTTCGAACGATTCGATGCTTCGAAGTCACAGGAACTTTCATTTCACGAGCCATTTGACGAACAGATCTCTCTCCGGGTTGCGCCTTATTTTCTCGCGAACGTTCTTGATAACAGTCTTAACAGCCGAAGTTACAAGTCTTCCACGTCCCTTTCGATCCTGATTTGTTCCAAGAGACTTAAAACGTTTGCATGTTCGCAAAACAAGTTGTTTTGTCACTCCCAGTCGTTGACGGATCGACCGTGCCGGAATACCTTTCTTGTGAAAAGAAATGATCAAGTCGCGAAAGCTGGAGGGCTTGGCCATTTTTAAAAAAGGACAATTTTTTAAAATATTATTAAATGAAAACAAGTTTAAAACAAGAAAAACTTAAAAAACAGTCAATAAATCGCTCGCGTTGGACAATTTAAATGCTTTTATGATGAGGGGTCGGGGTATCAGTAATTGTGGAACACCCTGTATAAAGAGCTGATGCATAATTACGGAATACTTAAGTAAAGTTTAGTGAATGTTCAAATCTGATCGAGGATTGCTATGAGGAAATGATCACAAAAGATGATTGGATCTTTGCCCAGTCAAGTCAAGATTTTCATTGGAATATTGTTTAAATCAATAAACATTAGATTTTAAAATGATTTTGTATATGTTTTCTTTTGGTGTTGTATTCAATCTAGAGATCTAGAGTCCAGTTTTATTGGTAGTAGTGACTAGACAAAGGACGGCAATTTTCGGCAAGACCTCTAGAAAATTGATTTTCCCACGAAACCCAGAATTTTCCCACGAAACCCGAAACCCAGAATTTTTCAGAATAACTAAAGTTAGTAGAGGCCGAAAAAGGAGCCGAATTCGATTTGGATTTCAAATGATAAGTGAGTGAGTCCAAAGCAGGCCTGTTCCAAAACCGCTACGGGCCAGGGCAGAGGCCCGACCGGCCTGGACCGACAAAAGACCTAAAAGCCCAGATTTTCAGAGAAAAAAAATCAAAATCAAGGTACACAGCTATAATCAGAAAAAATCAAGGTACGCAGCTATAAAATAATATTTGTTTTAAAAAAAAAAAAAAAAAAATACCGACTGGGGCTACCAGTGGTGAATTTATCGCATACACGAAATATATCAATCACAATACAACGACACACACAATACTAGGCTATATCTTAACTTAACCCACGTCATGACAGACGGCTCCCTAACCCTAAGCTCAATGGGGAACTAAATAGCTTTTTTGGTGGTGA